CTCCGGCATCTTGATGTTTACTGGCGCAGACCATGACATTTTTAACAGGCATCGAAGGACGCTCTGTGTAAGGTTGATAAGTGTATGATGTTTATTAATAGTCGGGATAAAGGGTGAAAACTGGGTCTATTGAGCTTTAGCAATGCCAGTGAAACGCACTGTGCGCGTCCATGCGCGCAGCCATTATTTTACCCCTGCTGCCCTCTATCTGTTCTTTGCTTTCCTACAGTTTCAGTTTGCTTAAAGGAGAGAGTGATGGGTTCAGGGAGTGAGGGGCTGGGGGGGGGGGGGCGCACTAGCTCACATTTAGGCAGCTCACATGTGAGCTCCGGCGAGAAGTCCGTCCACCTTTGAACCCATAATGCTGCAGTCGTGTCATTAGCACTTGCTTTAATGTGGCCCTGCATCAAGATACATCAGTACTTCTATGATGTGGATCTATACTTCTTCAAATCAAATTGTCAAACAGTCCTCACAACCAGTCAAGTTGAGCTCCATTCTGTATCAATTATCAAACCACAATTCAGGAAGGTTTGTACTTTCAAATATGATCAGTGCATGCATCTATGGTTAAAATTTTGTAACATTTGAATGACAAAAAAGTGGACTCCTTTCTACTGTGTAGAAGTTGTCCTGTGACACCACTTATTCCAGTGTGAAAAATGTTACTATAGATGTGGTGTTGCAGTAGCCCTGTCACACCACTCACTGCACTGTAAACTCAAACCCTCAAGTCTGTCACTAGTGAAAGGAGAGAGTGATGAGAATAGGGAGTGAGGGGATGGGGGTGCAGTGGTAAGGAATTTTGCTGCCAGTACAGTAGTTCTGCTCCAGGGAGAAACTACACCAAGGAAGTCTATACAGGTCCACATGAAGTCAAGAGTCCCCTCCCTGATGCTCCGGAGTAGCAGGCAGGGCGTACTCCCCCTGCAGGAGGATTAGTCCACATCCGCAGAGGCTTTTTGGCAGTGAGCACTTACACAGTGGTTTCTTCCACAGAATTAAGAGGAAAGTTGATTCCACAGTGATTCTTGAAGCGGCATTTACTTTGGCAAAAATAATGAAGTCTGCAAAAATCTATTTCCACAGGAGGCCATGCAGCTATGGTCCTAGGAATGGTTTCCAACTAGTTTATCCCACATTGTCCAACCCAAAAGGATTAAACCGTCTAATCCTTCCCCAGGAGGCTGAGAGGGGTCCGTTTTTTTGCCGTTCATTCTCTAATTACCAGGTACATTGGTAACCATGCTCTGTTTTTTTGGGACCTTGCATTTATACTTCTGAAATATTATATTGTCATCAATATTTTCTTATGGCATGTTTGTATAACACTTCCTTCAGCCCCTGACTGTAATGATTTGTTCATGATCCACTTCCAATTCCATGTATTTATATACAGAAGGTACACGAGTACAACACAAAAAATGTTAATTTTCCTCTTCATTAACCAGGAGTTCCATTTAAATTATATTTCTCAAATGGTGGAACTGGGGCAAGGTCAAGGCAATTTGTTTTTACACTAATCAAAGCAGACGTGTGCTGAAGATATGTTCTCATGTTTTGCAGATAAATAACCAAACTTTATTCCTCATAAGTTGAAGTATTCAAAGAATTGGTGAACTTTGTATTTAGGCTAATTTAGTATTCCTTATACAAACCTGAGACTTGGATAAAAATCATGGTACCCGTTTCAAAAATACCCTTTAAATTCACGCACAATTTCAAGGGTCTTGTGCCATGGCGCCTGGCGCGCATTCCTGAGACTGGTGCCCAAATCCCCTTTCTTCTTGAATGGTCCAACCAGCTTAATCCATTTACTGACCACAATGGAAAATAAGCTAATAGGAAACCATTCCAGACACCTGGAGCTATCCCACTTGGGGGGAGCCACGCGCAAGACAATGCCCTCATAAATGTTGCTAAGAACAACACATGGAATGTTATCAGCGGCATCCATGTGTGGCAGGGGTGGGGGGCAGTTAGGTAAGGTCAGGTCATGTTTGTTAAAATATTTCATTTTTATATTGACATCTGTTCATTGAAAATATTCTAACTAACATAACCTGACCTAACCTATCTTTACCTAACCACCCCCCAAAGTCAGTTTTAACAGAATCACAATAAATAACAGTGCAATAATGATCCCAGTGTCAATTCACATTTCAATTTGAAAGCTGTAAGAGGTTTTTAATGCATTGATTCTAAGGGGATTCAGACAGGGACTTGAAAAAAATTTGACTTATGAAGGAATTTGACTTAGCAATGTTCAACTTATTGAGATTTACCTGTACCATGCTTTAGCACCTCATAATAAACTTGGCACACATTTTTTTGCTATCATGCTGGTCTATAACAATGCCTCCTGTGAAAATGTATTTTGGCAGAATTTAAAATTTGTTTGCCAGAGTAAATGCCGCTTCAAGAATCACCATGGAATTGGCTCTCCTCCGAATTTTGTTGAAAGAACTACTGCATGCGTTCACCATGGAACTTCACTCCACGGATTTGAATAGACCCGCCGGACGACATAGCACACACTGGAGTGCATCCTGCCTAGGCAGGGTGTACTCCTGGAGTACGATTTTGGGGGAGTACACTGTACTGTCCACACTGGTGTGGCAGGCAGGGCGTACTGTACCCTCAATTTGGACTCTAGAGTCCAAATTGAGGGTAGAGTACGCCCTGCCTGCCACACCGGCGCTTGCCTCCTATCGCCCTACTGATTTCCTGATAAGCTCACTGGTTCCAGGTGGTTTGCGGCTTCGCCTATAGTTACAGAAACACCTCCTAGATGTCGCTCTTGCGTTCCGGCGCAGTGCCTTGCTCTAGGGTGGAAGAGTGAGATCTATACTGCCTGAGATTGTTACGGTCGTGTTGTGCAAGCTGCCTACCTCATGTTCCACTGATGAGTCTTTTTGGCTAGTTGATTTTCAAGCAACGCGCGTTCACCCGGAATTGCCGCGCCTTGAATGAGAGGAAGGTAAGGAATGGAGTTTATAGTGAAAATTCGTGATTCCCCAAATCAGCGGCGTGGAGATTCGGATTTGTCTTCAACTCTGATGAATTTACCTTGTGACGTCCGTCAGGAAGGTCCTGTAAATGCCGATGAACGATTCCTCGCGTGCATCCATCCAACTGAAGGTATATAGGCAGCATACTCCTTTTATGCAGGTACTTGTATGCTTATGGAACGTAATTTTTTCAACAATTGATGTTTGTTTATTAGGAAGCGAGCTTCGAACATCTTTACGCGGGCACGGTCTTGTTGGAAAGTTGGAAGATATACCGCTCGGTCACGCAGGCGTTATATTCCAGCAGAAAGACGTGCGCATGAAGGTTGCTGAAGCATCCCATGGGAGGATTTTGTCATGGGGATGGAACGATCATGCTCAGCCTGATGGAGTTCTTGGCGCTGTAAAAGATTTTCTCGATGTTGCCATGCTGGTAATTTTCGTATTTGTTCATTATATTTCTGAGTAATTGCGTTGTTCGATTGAGCATATTAGCTAGGTTCAGAATTATACACATCGAGTACCACATCGAAATTGAAGAAAGATCAGCATGCAAGATACATTTGTGTCTTTGTCATGAAATTTCTTTTTGACTGACGTGTAATTTTTTTTTTTTCAGGTTCACCATTGCGAAATGGACTGCTGACAGTCTTCTATATAGATGTAGTGTGACCCACATGCGCATTTTCCTTTGCCTATTCTACATGTTTTTGCCACAATAAAATCTCATCACTGAGCTCTTGTAGAAATGTTATGTTTTCTTGCTATGATCTCAAGTGCAGGTACCATCATGTGTGCAGCAAGTCCTCACAAGTTCCATAGAACTTGGTGTATGTGATCTGTCCAAAAAGCATTTCACATGTACTGTGTCCCTGGTGTTAATTTACAATTGCTGATATTTCTCCTGCCTCCGAGAGGGACTAACCTCAATTGAAACTTGGCTTTTGGGAAATGATGCATGGGAACTGGAAGGTCATGTGGTATACAATTGTGGAGTATATAAAGTGTCAATTGTAAATCTCGCTAGGCATAGGCTGCGTACATCTGTGTACGATCGACCTAAAGGAAGAACTAGACAATCTGGCATCTATGGTTATTTCAATCCGTTCTTTTGATAGTGCTTCGCCGGAGGAACCACGGAAACGATGTACAGTACAGTATTTGGTCGTAACCAAAGAAACAGGTATAGGCAGCGACATCTTGATGATCGGGACTTTCCGTAAGCGTTTGTTGTTCTGTCCCACATTCGTTGAATATGGTGTATCACATTCTTCTGCTAGAGGCAGCAGCCATTTTATGTTCGTAGAGTTGAAACGAAGTTGCCGAAAACGGCGTCGGTTGCGTCGTTTATGAAATTGACAAGTCTTTGCGTTAACTTGATTTTTGTGAGGCGAAGAGAAATCGCGATCAAGTGTTGGAAGAACAGGAATTCAAGTGGTCGGTGAATGCATTTCTCCGGTGCATACATGTGGCGCCTCCTCGTAGTTGCGTGATGTCCGGCGTGACTTTATAGAGCCATGGGCCTAGCTTCCACTACAGTTTTGGACGTGTTCTTTAAAAAATGTGCTTCGGAAGAAACTATTGCCCTTCTTTCATTTTAGTTAGATATTTTCTCTGAACAGATTGGATAGACTGAACAGTCTATTTTCGTTATACTGTTTGTGCCACATACTGAGGAAACATCGCGTATGTACATCTCACTGGTCTCGAAAAGGTCTATTGAAACTTTATTGGAGTCATCGGAGCGTTCGGGGTGTCAATCTGAAACATCGCCGCTGTGAAGGTGCGAGAGTGCTAAATATGTGAACCGCGCCGACTCAATTTGTGCGTCACGTGTTTCCCGCCTTATTCGAAAGCATGCATCCTGTGAAGCATTAATCCATCCCACGGTTTACCGGCTATCTCTAGTGCTTGTTTTATCATGCCTTAAGGATTCGTTTCTGGCAACTTACTATTCCGTGGCGAACGTGGTACCAATGTTCGAAGCTTAGTATTCCAGGAATGCGGGTGCGTTTCTTGATTTCATTGCGGGAATGAGTGTCTCGCCGTGAAGCCATGAGAGTGTGGCAGATATGCAAGAGAACATTTTGAACCGTGGGAAAGTGCTCAGTATGTCGGGAACAGGGCCCATTGCTACAAAATCCGGTGCATTGGGTGAATCTGGCTCTGTTGGGGAAAACTCGATGGGCGTTGAACCTAAGTCAGAGCGCGTGATGGATGAACCACCGCCTCGCGACGAGCCGATCATGGAACCCGTAAATGGGATCGTACAGCCACCCGTGATCCCACCGTCACACCGGAAAGGACGTATGACTACGCAGCTCAAGTACCTTCAAAACACCGTTCTAAAAGCCATTCACAAACACCAGTTTGCGTGGCCTTTTACTACTCCCGTTGATGCCGTGAAGCTAAATTTACCGGTTTGTATTCACATTTCACAAGTTTCATGCTTCCGTTTCTTGAATTGTTTGTCTTCATCAGGATTACCATAAGATCATAAAGCATCCCATGGATTTGACGACCATCAAGAAACGACTCGAAAACAATTACTACTGGAGTGCGAAAGAGTGTATTCAAGATTTTAACTCCATGTTCACAAATTGTTACGTGTACAATAAGCCCGGCGAGGACGTCGTTCTCATGGCGCAAACTTTGGAGAAGTTATTCCTTACCAAAGTTGCCCAGATGCCGAAAGAAGAAATAGAAATCAATGATCCCAATTCTGGTCGTGGTCGAGGGACCAAGAAGGGTAGAGGTATCAAACGACCGCCACCTGTTTCCTCAACGACAACAGTTGGAATATCTCCATCGCGTCCTCCGTCCAGTATTCCATCGGGCTCTTCACTTCTGCCTGGAACGCCTCGCGTCGCGATGGTAATGTCTCCGTTCGTCAATGCTTTTCTTATCGTGTGATTCATTCCTGCGTTTTCATTCGTGAAGGATGGTTCACCGGGTTCCTCTGGTACGTTGGTTGCCAGTAATGCATTAGGGGGAGATGGGCATCTAGGTCCTGCAAAATTGAAAAAAGGTGTGAAACGAAAGGCAGATACGACCACTCCAATCGTTGCCAGTGCACCTTTTGATCCTACGTACACTCCCTCTGCGGAGCCAAAAGCACCAAAGATCTCAACGCGCCGGGAATCTGGTCGGCAATCAAAAAAGGTACTGCATGGATCAGATTTTCGGATTTTTACGGAGAGTACTTCACAATATGATCTTCCGTTTTTTAGACGGAATCCGGTTCACCGCGTCGAAAGTTGACAAATGGGCTCAAGATGTGCGGTGAAATACTAAAGGAACTTTTTTCCAAGAAGCATGCTGGTTATGCGTGGCCATTTTACAAACCAGTGGATGCGAATCTCCTTGGATTACATGATTACCATGATATAATCAAGACTCCAATGGATCTTAGCACAGTGAAGGTACAGTAATATCTATTCCCCTTTTTATTCTTAGTTTTCAAACCCTTCACTCGTGCAGGCAAAGCTTGATGGCAAAGTATACAGGTCTGCCGTGGAATTCGGTAATGACATTCGGGTGATATTCAACAATTGCTATAAGTACAACCCACCAGACCACGATGTTGTTCAAATGGCCCGACGATTGCAGGACGTCTTCGATGAAAAGTACGTTTCCCTCCTCTAATTTTTCTCGCGGAAAGGTATGATTTTACTTCTGGTCGCAAAGGTTTTCTCAAATACCGGATCACTTGCTGAAGGAGGAATGTAGTGAAGAAGTTGAATCCGATTTTGACGAGGAAGAAGAAGAAGACGAGGAAGATGATGAGCTCGAGGCAAGAATTGTGCAGCTGCAAGAAAAGGTAATACTTTAATTGTATTTTATGTTTTCCGTATTTCAGTCCAAGAAGTAGTGGTAGGATGTAGCTCTGAAACTCGTCGATGTGGATCCAATTGTTCTTATTGGAGCGCTTGGCCTGAGCTCAGATCAACTAGCCGAGTTCGCGGGATTCTGTGCTATCCTGTTACCCATTCTTCATCCACCTCCAAACTTTACAGCAAACGGATTATTTCATTCTGTGAAATTTCGTGTTGAAATTTTCTTAAGCGGCATTTTACTGTAATTACTCCATGAGCGGAAAGCGTATGCATGGGTTAGATTATCAAGTTCGATCATGAGTCATCTCTTTTTCTGCTGAGGGCGTTTTATTGCTGTGGGTGTTGTGAAAAATCCAACGTGCCAGATCGCATAGAATTATCTTATGCTAACTGACGACTGTCCATTTTTCTTCCGTCCCAGATGAATGAAATGCAAGAAGAGCTGCATCGTCTAGTCCAAGAAAGTCAGTCAAAACGGAAGAAGCACAAAAAGGACAAGCGGAAACGACGTCTTAGCGAATTGAATGCCCTCGGGACCGGTCCCGTTTCGGATTACGGGGCTATACCGACGAATGCCGGTGTTGGTGTAGGTGCCAAAGGACCGCGGGGTGTCGGACGTCCCCCCAATGTGCCATCGGGTGGAAAAGGCATTCACGCTGCTCATGGTGCGCTCCCGGCGTCGAAGCGTGGGAAGGGTGTAACGCGTCGTGGTGGTGGACGAGGTCGTGGTGCCGTAGGAAGCAGCACAACCGGAGCGGCAGTGGGTGCACCTGCGGCGATGGGAGCGTTGGCCCCTTCCGCGTCAGAAACCAATCAGCTGGGCTTGTCAAAAGCGTACCCTGGTGGTAATCCACCTTTTGCTGGTGACTCCGAAGAGGAAGATATCGCGAAACCGATGTCTTATGATGAGAAGCGCCAGCTCAGCCTTGATATCAACAAGTTACCGGGTTCGTTTTTGCGTATTTTTCATTCATATCTCTCCAGGTCAGATCTGAAGTGCACTCCGTGTTCTATTCATATCATCATCCGAGTGACAGTGAAGTGAAGTTTCTGTGATCAGTGTTGTAATCCTTGACTTGTTCCTTCCGTGTGAGCAGCTTTTATATTTCGAAGGCTCGATTAATCAAGTTGGTGTTACCGCGTGACGTGTCCTCGAGAAATTCAAGCTCTCGTGTGAAGTGAGCTATTACCCGATGTATGCTGAATATCCTGAAATTTCGGTTTATTGTGTTGAAAATCATATAGGTTGTTTAGAGCGAAGAAATTCTTCGAAATGAGGTAGTTTTTGTCCACTCTTCGTACCGTGTATGAAAATACTTGCGCTGTGAAAATTTTCGGCGTCCCACACGCGTCCATTTGTACGTGGTGAATTTCTTTCCGATTTTTTTTTTGTAGTGGTTCCCCGCGCTTCGTTTCGACTCGTCGTCTGTGAACGCGGTGACTTACGAACCTTTTGCTGTATAGTGGCCCTATTGTTATCATTTAACTCGTCTTTGTCTTCAGGTGATAAGCTTGGTCGTGTCGTGCACATAATTCAAGCACGGGAACCCAGCTTACGAGATTCCAACCCGGATGAAATCGAAATCGACTTTGAAACGCTGAAAGCCTCTACATTACGGGAATTAGAATCATATGTTGCTTCTGTTCTCCGGAAAAAGCCTCGTAAACCGTATTGTAAGTTTTTTTGTGAGATGGAATGGGTTGGGATTGCATTGCATCATTTCTTCTCGATCTTATATCAGATAAGAAGACCGGCGCGAAGAACAAAGACGAAATGGAAGGGAAGAGGCAAGAATTAGAAAAGCGACTTCAGGATGTTCGTGGAGCTTTGAGCAACCCGACCGCAGGTGGCGCCGCCGGTGCCGCTGCTCCCGGGATGAAAAAGCAAAGCAAGAAAGGTTCGTTAGGAAATTATTCAAGCGGTCCGGGTGAAACCGTACAATTAGTCCATGAATCGCAACCCGCTCTGATTCGTTCCTTCACGTGTGCTGACGCTTTGGTCGGACTTCATTTTTAGAATAATGATAACGCAGGTGGACTCAACAACGAATCTCATAGAGGTCATAAAAAAATTTTCGTAGAGAACTCCTGTACCATTGGGAGAGAACCCTACGGAACCGCAAAAATTCATTGTACTGTACAGAGAAAATCGTAGAAAGTCTACCTGTTTATGAAGGATACATTGTACGAAGTGTACACAGTAAGCTTTTTTCCATTGTGAAGTATTGTTCAGTCATTATGAATGAGTTTAACTCGGTTGGGTATGCTTACTGTAATTTTCAAAGACCGAAGTGATCATTCCAACTGGTTGTTCTCACCTCTCCTTGGATATCTCGTAAACTTGTGAATTGTGGTTAATTTGATTCGGAGTACGGTGTATCTTTCAAATACGCTGTCTTATCACACGTAGTCCTAGATTTCAACGTTGATTGTGTACTATACTTCCTCGCTGGATTGCGTATTGCAGATGGGCACAAGTCAGGTCGGCTGTCTGGAAGCTCGTCCTCCAGTTCCGACTCAGATTCTAGTTCTACCTCCAGCTCAAGTTCATCTTCGGAGTCATCGGATTCAGAAGGAGGTAAGTGATCGCGGCTTTCTCGTTGCATTCGTCGCTCTCCGCCCGCCGCTCCCCTACTGTTTTTCGCTATCCTTTCGTTGTTGATTCTTCCGTTCTTTTTCTCGCCTCCGTTCGGTTCGCCGTTGGTCCGCCACTTGTCGTAAAAAAAAAAACGCAAAAACGTCAGCGATGTCTCGTTCGGCCGTCTGCGTACGTGTGTTGGGGAGCAAGGTGGGAATGAGGGTTTCTTGCCTTTGAAGTCTTGAGCCCGGTCAACCGAACGAGGTCTCATTTCGTGAATGTGCTCTTGAACTTTCTGATTCCGGGACAATTCGTGGAACATTGCCTCCAGAAAGATCCATTTGTGAAAGAAAACAAATAAAAACGGTAAAATGAGCACTGTATCTTAATCCTGTATTTTGATGAGACTCTATTCCGGTAATTTTTTGTGCTCCGCTATCCGAACTCGGCAGGGTACACGGTTTCGTTCTTTTATAACTATCTCTTGGCGCGTTATTACTACCCGTACCTTCGGTTTCATTTTATTGCGTTACTCGTCAATATAATCTCGGTAAACGTAAGTAATTTTCGATATTTCAACTGTATTTGAAACTTGGAGGGGTTTTGCAAAAAAAATCGTAAAATCCTTTAGTTTCTGCACTCAGTTCCAGTTCTCGCATTTTTCGATGCGTTTGGTGTCGGAGGAAATCCCTAGGGACTTCCATCGTATTATTGAAATATTTATTACAGATTCTTCCCTTGTGAACGGTACTTCGTCCGATTCCCTTGTCAATTATTATGTTGGAGCTTTGGCTATTGCGAACAGCCTTTGTGTCGAACTGCCTTTGTCTAAAAGCAATCTTTTGACTTCTCAAATACGGTATAAGCGAATGAGGAGCGCCTCCGCGTTTATGTAACGTGCGACGAGTTATAAAATTGCTGATCCTAAGTTCGAAATTTGATTTGGGAAGATGCTGAGAATCGCCGGCGGCGAATTTTGTGGCCATTATACAGTATATCCGATTCATCCGACAGTTTTGAACCAAAGTTTGTTGTGTGATTCTCAAATGTTGAAAGGAAACATGGTACTGTACTGGGATTAGAGATTATTTCAATATCTCAGCGTCTTGAAAAATTATCTGACGAGGTGATTAATTAACTTCCGGTATTACAAATCAAGTCCCACGAACATATCGTAGCGTTTTTTTCTGGCCGGAAAATACTTCGGTACATATGAGCTTTTGGTACGAAAGTTGATCCTGGTGAATCCGTCAGCAGCCAGTCAGGACTGAATGCAATCCGTTTATTGCTGTTGAACTTCAAACGTTTCATTTCAATTGTTCTATTTTTGTTTTCATATGGAAAATTTTCCTAAATAACGTTGAAGATGTTATCATAAAATATGCGTTGATACGCGTTTGAATGACTTTCATGGGAAAATCATGTATACTTGGAAAAAATTAAGTTGCTACGGTTTCTGGCCTCTTCCGTCAGTCATTCATCGTTCGCAAATGTCGAACGTCGATTTTGTTCTCTGTTTTAAAGTTTCCTAAAACGTCTCAAATTGTTGGAAAAAGTCTGTTTCGAAAAAACATGCGGTAGAATCCTTTTTCCAGCTTCATGTGCGTTTGTAATTCTTGACTCTGTTCGCAGCAGCCGTTTTCTTGTTTCTACTGATCATCCATAAGGCAATGAAAATGTCAAGTAACCCCAAATTCACTGGACTTCCTCTATCTAAAAAAAATCGAAATAGTGTACCTCGTTGGAAAGAATCCCCGCCTTGAATTGATGTGGAAGAACGATGGATGGTTTGCTTGCTACCAAGCGTCGCAACTCTAGCGAAATTTTACTCCGAGTACAAATTTGAAAATCAAAAGCTTATTTTTGCCTTGATAGTCTCGCTCCGTCGCTGTTCCTTCATTGATTTCAATGGCAGTTTTCGTGATCTAGAATCTGTGTAATTGACCTACTTGCTGTGAAGGCTTTTTGGACGACTTGAGTTGACTTCTGATTGTCGTGACGATGGGTCTTGTTGGAGTCGAGGTTCCATGACTTGTTTGTTCCCGTCATTTTTCTCCGCCGCTCTTCCCTGGGGTGCGACGGACGGACTGCTGGCGAAGCGTCATCAAACCTGACGCATTATTTCCATAATTTTCAGGGAAGACTCGCGCGTAGTGGGGGGTGTCGACTTCCGCCCGGGGCTCAAGGTTCTTCGTAAAGATCCGGAGAAAACAGGCGAGAGCCGCCGTTTCATTTGTGTCCCATGGGATTCGGCGTGTGAGGCACCCAAGTGCCCTTCGTTTTGCTTCCTCACACGCTCTGAAAGTATCGAGTTTATGAGGGCTATATGATTTTGTTCTCGTTTTCAGCGTTAAGATCTCACTTTTTCGAATTTTTTAAATGAAACAAGGCGTGATGTGAAGTTGAACTGGGTCGTCGCTCATTTTTAGAAGTAATTTTTGTTGTGGATGATTTTAATTTTGTGCAGCTCGCATCACTCGTTTTTTAATATCTGATTCAACTTGGCGGGTTTTTAGTGCGCAATGACTTCGTTCCAATCATTTTATGCCATGGGTGCTATGTAGGAAGAAGTTTATGTGCATATTCTTTTTGAGTATATTTATAGCTACTTCCTTCGTATGTACGAAGATAAGGATTGTGCCAGTCCCTGTCGGAGTTTGAACACGATTGAATTTTGTCTGATTTCCGGTTCACAACTTCAGGTATTTTGTTTTATTTCTCCGATATTTTTGTATTGGCCATTTTACGCACACGGAGGACCACCTGGATGTTCTTGGAGCGTTGTGTTGTGAAATTCGTATGCATTTACGAAAAGCTGAAGTTGGCGTGTACAATACCATTCAGACCAGGTCATGCGCGAAAAGGTTCTGTTTTATGTACTGTTGTGAAGCGCGAGCGAATGTTGGCGAGTGGCGGCGAACGGATTTTTTTCTGTTTCTGAAAATTTTTGCAAATAAAGTTTCGTGGCGGGCGCGCCCTGTGCCCTGTAAAGGGGTATTTTGCGTACTTCAGAAGTCTTTTTTTATTATAAGCTCTTCGGTCGCCTTCGTAGATAATTTTGCCTTCTTAGAAAGTTTTGTCTACGAAACGAGGGATTTTCAAGTCGCGTTCGTATCTGCAGATGAGGACGCATCGCCGTCGAAGGGGAAGAAGCCGAAAGTGGAGAATGCGTCAGAAGAGGTTAGTTGAATGTTTGGATCATCGCTCTTATGGCTGTTCGCTAATTTTCGTCGCATTAGGGAGGAAACAATCCGTCGGCCGCCGAGCAGCCGAAATTCGTTAATGTTCCTCCGACTGGGTTGCGAGCACCTGAAGTTAGCGGAAAAAATTTGGCGATGCTGAACTCTGAAGCAGCCGCGGTCAAGTCTGGTGATTATTTTCATTCTTTTTACGAGTACAGTTCAGTACAATATTTGCGCCTTCTCTTTTATCTGATATTGATGGATATACGCGAAGAGGAGAGAATTTTCTTACGTGGACGGAAGGTCGCGGTTTTCATATTGCCCATTTATTTCCGCAATATCGATGCAACAATTTCCCCGTCTGGATGGTGTAACTTTCATGTACAATATATGATTTAACTGAATTTCTGAAGAATACTTTTCGAATCGTTGAGCGTACCCTCGGCTTTTCAGGCACTTGCATTAAGATTCGAAGGTAACGGGTTTTCAGTTAGCTCGGAACAAGTGATTAGTGGATTCATATATCTTGTATTTCGCCCGAGCACGAAGCTTCCAATTCTTGTTCTGTAATATTTTATTTTTCATTGATGGGGTTTGACATAACTAAGCTCGAAGCCGAGGCGAAAAAATGGATTTCTCGTTCGAAAGCACGTTTGATGGTTTTGAGAGCCAGAACCCATTTAAAGTTGGTGTCCTTGAAAATTATTTTTCCAGAATTTGAACAGGAGAAGAACATGTCCAACGTCGCATTAAATCGTGGCGTAACTCACGCCTTACCGTCGATGGAGTCCAGCGGTAAGTTGCAGGCTGCGAACGGAACGGACGGCAAGCGCGACCAGTGGGGTCTAGGCCAGCCGATCGGTGGGGGAAGCGTATCCGATTCTGCACCTCTGGCGTCCATTGACTCTGTCCCAATGAGCGACGTGAAAATGATCAGCGGCGGTAAACCGGCTTATAATTCACCGCAATTCTTGGATGCCGCGCGGACCACGACGGAGAATAACATGTTGAAACCCGTGAGCGGAGGAAAGCCCTTGGGTCAAATGTCCATGACCAATCCTCCTCAGGTAGGTTCCTTGCTTATGCTTCCGTAATTCAAAACTGGAGAATTTCATTCATTTCAGTTGTATTATTTTTAGTTTCTATGGTTCTCAATCCTGTGTGAAATGACAAGTATACAAAATATCCGTATAAAGTAGGGCCACAATATGAGGATTCAATTCCGTCTCAGACTCTGTGTTGGAACATCTGCATGTCAGATCAAATTTTTCCTCATATACTTCACTGACAACGTTTTAAATCACTTCCTACCACTGCAGTATTTGGCACAGAAAAAAAACCTAGAAAAACTCCTCCAAAATTTTCTCAACTGTGAAGTATACATTTATAGTGCCAAAGAAATCCGCAGGGAATCTGCACTTCAGGCCTGGAAAGGAGCCTAAAACGCGAAAAAAACGAAAATGAAAAAACTTGACCTTGTTTTGGATTATGATACCAGTTAATTTATAGGAAGATATTGAGTTTATTTATAATAAGATATTAACCAGTTAATTTATAAGATAATGATTTATTTTATAATAAGATATTAATGAGTTACTTTATAATAAGATATTAATGAGTAAATTTTTAATAAGATATTGTACATATGCATTTTTCCTCATAGAACTAGCTGCATCAAAATTTAGAGAAGTGAAAATTTTGTCTATGTTGGGCCCCCACTGTATTTCTACCATTCTGTGCTGAGCTATTATTTTATTTAAATTTTCGTACATATTCAGTATAAATGTATTTTTTCTTAACCTGAATTTTTACCGGCACCAATTACACGCAATGCCTCCGAGAATTTCGGGGAAATTATTCTTTCATGATATTCTGGTGCTTTTAGACCTGAGCGGAAGATTGAAATACAGTATATCTGAATCTTCAGAAGATTGAAATATAACTCACTCTTCAAAAGATTTAAAGGTTTCATCAGGCATGAAAATGTTTACTCTGCTTTATTTTTCATCAGTATTCTTGTAAATGTGTGAAAATTATGGAATTTTGGAGTTGAGTATGGCTGATTCATTTTGTTGTGTTGGACTGATTGTTTTTCATGAAAAAAATTTTGAGACAACGAAATTGTTTTTTTCAAACTTCTTCCCTACAATAGATTATCCCCAAATACCCGGATCCTGCTGTTCTTTCTTTTCTACATCAGATAAATTCGATTTTTATATTTTCTGCGCTGTGGTATTACTGTACTTCAAATTTGGCTAAAAAATTGAAGTCTTGTCACGAAGTTTGTGTCACTGCCATTACCATGTGCAATGGTATCCCTTTATACGAGAATTTCATCTGCACATGTTCTGATTCGAGCTCAAAATCAATTGGAAGTCAAAAACAGTTTTTCTGGTCATATTTTTTGGCTCATAATTTTTGTCGAGTTTTGTATTACGTTTTCAGCTTGCTGCATGATTATAAATTTCTTGGTAAAAAAAAAGTACAGTGTAGTGACAGTTCGGAAAGCTGGTTGACTAAACCCCTCTCCATTTTTGTCGGTTTTAGCAGTTTTTCCTAATCCACTGATTTTTTTTAAAATTTTTGATCGATTTGTATTTCACTTCTTATTACTGTAGTGCTGAAAATTCCCACCGAATCAGACGGGTATTATTAATATTGGATCATTTTTCATTGCATGGGACTCCTACAACTTGTATCCCATTCATTTGTGACTGGGCTGTCCATATTCCTGTTCTATTGGGTTCCGCAGTACAGTACCTCTTCTTTCCAGTGTCATCCCATGTACATAGAAAATTGTATACACCTTTGAGTTAAAATATTTCCGGTCCCAGAACAGTTGTTTGTATGAAAAGTTCGGTTGGTCCAAAAAATATTGTACCCCCACTTCTCTAGTCCATGGAGCCAGAAAAGTTGCGACCTTTGGTCTAATATACTGTACATTACTCCAAATTACAATTTTCAATGGGGAATTCATATTTTCTAGTTGTAAGGAACCGTACATTAGTAAAATGAAATGAAATAATGGGCCAAGAAACATCATCTTAGAATCAGTAAAGATTAAAGCGGCTACTGGACCAATTATTTTTTATTTCACAATGATCGGTATTGAGTAAGTTGGGAGCAAAAGAAGAATTTAGCTTTCGCTTCGACTTTCCTCGTCATTCTATGAAAATGCAATTTTAATAAATGAAATTCTTTAATTTTTTATTTTACACATTTATATGAACATGTTTTCAGGTTATGTTTTTGATTATTGAGAATCTTAGGTCATTTGTTGCTCAAGGCAATGTGCTGAAAAAGTATCGTTTGTTTACGAAGTTGCTTTTTGCTTGAAGCGTTTTTTTGTTGTTCAAGCCTCCGATGGTATTAACATTACAGTACAATATTTTTATTTTTACTGTATAAAGATATTACGAATTTTATATTTTAAAAATTTAAATGATTTAGTGTACTGTTGAACGGACTTCTGACGACTTGCGTATGTATTGTTTTGGTCTTTATTCTGTCGAAGGCCTTGCAAATTTTTTTGCATATTAAAATTATTCGGGCGAAATGCTTTCGTTTTCAGTAAATTAAAGGCAGTTTCAGAATTGTATTGATTTCCTGAATCTCGTTATCAAATATTGGCTTTCCATGTCAAACTTGCGGCAGTATGAGAAGTGTTGATCGATAAGGCTCGGGTTTGTTGTATGTGTATGATGCTTCATAATTGTTACCGCAGGAACTATTCATTACCCGTAATCGTTTACGTTTCAAGTTGTGTTTTCACTTTTTATAAGGGACGAATTTCCAGACTGCTCCATCATTCAACTGAATCATTTTGCGTATGTTCAAGATATGCAACTTCGATTTGTACGAGTTCTGAAAAGAAGAAAGGCGGGATCTTCTTTTGATGTTCCGATTGGAATTCTGAAAATGTTGATGACACGTTCTCAATCCGACGTTTTCTAGGGATCACCGTCGCAGGATTCGGCTGGAAGCGGCGGATCGTCGCAAACTGCCTGGTCGAACATCGGTCAAACCACAAGTGGTCAAATCGGGGTCTCTTCGGCGCAGCAACAGCAGCCTGGCGCCCCTGGAATGAGAAATGCTGCGCTCGATTCCTTTCAATTGTTTAAGAAGCAGGCGAAAGACCGCCAAGATCGCGTAAGCTGCGATTGACATTTTCGCTAAGATGAAAATCGTTTAGTTCAGGAAACGTGAAATTGTGCTCAACATTTCACGGCGGCTTCTTTTATCTCCCAAGAACTATGTTGTCAAATCTGGGCCTTTTCTACTAAGCAGCTGTTTCTAAAAATTTAAGAAGAGTATTGATAGCTCTTGGACTACGTGCTGTCACTGTTGTCATTGCTGACATGACTCGAGTAAATATCCTTTCCTCCACGAAGTATGGAAATCAAGAAAATGTACTGTAGTCAACGATTGATACAGCAATTAATAATTATGTAATGGTTTTCATTCGTTGTGAAGGTCAATAATATTCAATGGTTTCTACATCTTTTGCATTTTAGATCTTGGAGATGATCGTTATCCCGGTTTTCCAGTGGGATTAAAGTTGATGATCGTTTTGTTTAGAGTGCATGAACGGTTATTCTATCTATTTCATGAACATCGCAAGATGCTGATGTAATACAGTTACAATTGATGTACAGTATTTTGTGAAGTTTGATACGGTATGTATCCCTTTTTTATTGGGAAGTTTGTATTCTTGATAAATATTATGCCCTTCGTTTTATGTACAATATGATTTTTTTTTATTTCGCGTGTTTTGTAATCTTCGGCCTTAACCAAATATGTAACGGTATGTGTATTTATTTTTTTTGTTCACAGCAACGTCAGTTGATGGAGCAACAAGAGCAGCGACGCCTTCAAAAAGAGAAAGATCTCCCCGATGTAAAGAAAGAGCAGCGCTTTGCTGGAGACCCGATGAGGTGAGCTCGATGTGCCCACAAAGAGAGATTACATTTAGTTAACAATTTTGTAATGGAGGTCTATTGAACTTTTGGAATTTCTGGTTGTCGTACACTTGCATTTGCCGTGACGAAAATTTTCCTGATCACATCACAGGGCGGTTAGGTTGTTTTTAAGGCTTGAAAGTACCCTTTCGCGGCTTATTCCGAATGAGTGAAATTGGGTGAAATCCAAGGTTTTGTCTGATATTCGTCCACATTAACCCTGCTGACAATATTTTCTATTGTCTTAATTCATAGCCCTTTCATATCGAAGTGTAACTCTTTCTCTGATACTTTAAGACAACTTTTAACCTGACGTCAATCTGTCTATATAAACCCATGCGACACCTATATCATAGTAAGTAAACGCACTGACTAGGCGTGTAGGGTACAATTCCCTTCTTTTGCATACGTAAATTGCTAATCAAGTACGATTTTTTAAGAGTTTAATTTTACCTGAACAGTTGCTCCGTAACGCTCTCCACTGGTATCAACCTAACTCGCGTGCTTGATGATGATTTTCATGACTTGGCGCCTGATGTGAGAATCGTTGCTCCTCCTTTATTCACCTTCAGAGGAGACGTAATGAAGAAGCCAGTGATGGGTGGCGGGAATGGAGCCGTGGGCCAGCCAAACCAGCTTCCGCCGATTCAGACAATGGCTTCCGCGCCCCCTGAAACTTTGTCCAGTATTGAGCGCGCCAAGCTAAGGGAACAGGAGCGTCGTCGCCGGGAAGCAGTAAGTTTGAATTTTCGTTGAGCGATAATAAACGGAACTTTTTTATCATTCTGTTGAGCGCTTTTGCGTCATGCGTATTTTTTCCTTTTCTCATGATGTGAACATGGAAAATTTTGATTCATGATTTATTTTTTAGTCAACCACTGTATTCTTTTAATTTTTTCGTAGCGATTGTTTAGCGATTGAAGTCAATTGTAAAAAGACCGAGTATTAATGTACAACACATAGCTCTTCAGCTACTTTTCCTTGCTCTATTTGTGGTCCCCTCTATTTATTCGAAACATTCTTATTACAAAATTATCTTCTAGATGTAATGTGTATTTCAGGGGTTTTTGGAAGTCTATTGGTAAAGAATCTTAGAAATACGACGGCTTCTTGTCGAACTCGAACTGATTTAAAGCATGTCGCTCATTGGTCGTTGCCAGAAGTAATTCTTCATTGTCGGATCCTATCGTTGGTCTGAATTGTGCACCAACGTTTAAATAAACTGAGCTTATTGCGACGTAGGTTGAGGCTTCCGACTATTTGTAAAAGCCTTTGAAATAGATTCTTGAATTTATTCGAAGTGTTTCTGTTTGCAGCTCGCCAACCAGATCGACATGAACCAGCAAAGCAATATGATGGCTGCCTTTGAGGAGAGCCTTTGAAAACCGCTCAATTCCTAGGAAGTGTTTATTCTCCGGCGTTACATCAAAATTTAGTTGATGGCATCTCCGCGATTCGTTCAGTGGTTTTGTTGCGCCTTTTTGACCAATTGGCTTTGTTTGTATTTTTCCGTAACGTATGGGGGAGTCGTTGTGGCGAGCTCCGCATTGTTGCTTTCATTGAATTCTTCTGTTTAGTGGGCGGTTCTTGAGCACCCAGGCATTCTTGTCGGATTATATTTTGTAAGAAAACCGAAAGATAAAAACTGATCTTTGTTGAATTCATTGGACAAACGACAAGTTTTTAGTTGCATGTAGTTCGGCGGCTTTTCTATATTTGATGCTTTCGAGAGAGAGAAAGAGAGGAGAGAAATGAGAAGTCTCGCGACAACCTTCCTGTCTGTTGAAGTCTAGTGTGCGCGTTTCTTTTTTTTTTATGGCTGCGTGGAGTCCATTACTGGGGATTTTGTGAATTATTATAAATATGTGTTGTGCGCGCTTTTCAGGAGGTATCGCGGTGGTGTCGATGTCGTCGAAGCTTTTGTTGCGTGCGATGTGGGTGTACTGCAGCTCGGGGTAAGCGAGATTAGATTTGTCTGGGATTTACTCCAACTTCTGTTCACTACCTTGTGCGTTGAATAAAAACAAGTGTCAACATTTTTCAATATATATGCGTGTTTTCCATGATTTTGCCGTTGTCTTCACCTAATAAGCATGCCTACCGTAGTACAGTAGAACCAGGATTGTAAAAACTGAGTTTGATGATTGGAATTAATAGGACGCCAGCTTCATGTTTCGAATGCATGCTACACAGCAAATGTGCACTGAATAGGCGTCTGATTTCAGAAACAGTAGTTCATACGCAAATTGAATTCATTGTTTTAGCAAGATTTATTGTGGTTCTCGTGAGAAATTTGTTCAATAGTCTACCAAAGCTGTCAAATTTGCATGGGTTGGTTACTCAGTAACATGACGTACTTTTAGGTGGGTTACATGAGTACAGTAGTAGACGAAAATTGCAAATAGGTCGGCGATCTTCCCCGGGCGTTTTTTTTTCATTCTACAGATCTAACATGCCTTCGAAAAGTGCTGAAGTATATTCACATATTTTACTCGGGCAATTTGCACCTGACCATAAACCTTTTTTTTCTTTACCTTGCGCTTCTTACATAACTGACGAACTCTGTCGCACAACTTCCCACTTTAAACAGCACCAGTTGATTTTCTCACCTGCTATAATGCTCAGAGCGCGGGAATGTGTTCTGTCGCGGTGGGCCGAAGGGTGGAACACTCCCCCGCCGGAGTAGAACTCTTCGCCACTGCGACGTGAGGTTAGTTGTGAATGTGGGAAATGAAGTACTGTATAATAATGTATCCGCAGTCTGATGAAGTCCATCGCGTGTGGACGGTCTCGAAATTTGAATCTGCTGACGCGTTCAGACCTGACGAAGAATGTTGATAAAAATCTCTCCTGGTATCCGGAACGAGGATCGTTTCAGTAATGAAGTTGAAATCGCCTCGAAACGTTCATACACGTTTGTCTACTGACGCGCCAAGCCCGCGAGATCTTGATACTTCGAGCGTTTTGAGAACTTGGATATAATATAGTACTGTACTTCAACTTTTCTTTGTCGGCTGTAGCCCGAATCGATGACTGTGGATATTTGCCATCAAGTGCCGTCGCCCTTCGAATCGTGAAGATTCAGACATAAGTACGAGTGCCGAAGAAAATAAAAATACTTATTCCTTCGTTTCGAATGATTGAAAGTGATCGTGTGAAAGCGTTGAAGTGTCCATTCCGTGCAGGTTGACGGTCCGCTACCTGTTATTTGTAGGCTTTACGTTTGCGTAGGTAATGCCGTCCCCGCTAGTGAGATAATTACGGTGTAACCTACTTACCTACGGCATGTGACTCGAGGAAAATGCGATTTGCGAATGACACTCAGCGTGGAATGAGATAATATACGTGTGCTATCCTGGATTAATTTCGGCAGCGATGGAAGTCTTGCTAGCCACGGCTAATGTGGGATCCATCTTCGAAGAGGTGAGGTCTATTTTGAAAAGTTGTAGCGATGTAATTGAATGAGATTATTCATTTCAGCCGGATGTAATGCTGAAGGGATGGTTGAATGTATTCCTGAGAAAGTTGTCTGAGTTGAATCCACAATTTGTTGCTATTCACTGTCAAGAAGTCGGAGGAAAAAATTACGAAAGTAGTATGCAGTATGTCGGAGGGTTCGTGGATTCAATCCTTTCGAGCGTTGAAGCATCAGGATTCAATAAGTCTTTAGTCATTCTTGACGAGGACTATTCGGTTGCGGAAAATTTCACTGCTCTTGGAAATATTTACATGATACGCAAAGATTTGGAAGATTGTAACGTTTGGAATTTTGCTGAGGGCCAGTTCGAAGATTGGGAAGGAAAAAAGATCTTTTCCGGCTCCATCGAAGGTGTTCAGTGGTTGGAAAAGTCAAAATTTCCACAGGAATTTTTTCCGGAATGCAAATGGTCTCGTAAAGGGTTTTTGAGGACCCGCTGGAGAGTCGGTGGAACTGTTTTCGATTTGGTGAACATCCACCTGTTCCACGATGCCTCAAATTTAGTCGCGTCTCAGTCGGTGAGTTGGAGGTTTATGAAAGACTTTCATCCATCACAATTTTGGTATTTTCCTGCTATTCAGTTTCCCAATCCCTATTCGCTGAACCGTAGAAGAGCCTTGGACCACACGGTGCAGAGGTTTTTTCATGACGGGCTGGACAACGTACCATCTTTCATTTTTGGGGATTTTAATTTTCGGCTGGATACAGGCACCGTTGTTAAAGTATGCACGGGGGGTGAATTCCAGCCGACGGAAGAAACGAAGGGTGTATCGCAATTTTTCGGTGAAAACAATGATCTTCTGTTCACGCTGGGAAAGAAAGAATTCGCTAGAGTTGATCATGACGAATTCTTCCTGAAGGAAAAGGGCGACTGGGTAAGCAATGCTTCGACCAGTGTATTTTTTTAATAATAGACTTTGTCTTTGTTTTGAAGTTACTTCCTTTTGACCGAGAGATGGAAGATTTCCGTGGCACGCTCTTCGAATTTGGTATTAAATTTCCACCGACTTACCCATATGAAGAGGATGTGAAGGCGCCTTGCTCATTGATGAGAACGAGATGTCCATCATGGTGTGACAGGGTTTTGCTGTCACATTCCGCCAGGCTATTAGTGGATGATATGGGCTCCATTATTTACGACATCATCGGTTTCGACACATGCACTGGAGACCATAAGGTAAGAAAATGTGTATCGAGTATCTCTACTTCTATGTTGTAACGCTTGATGTGAAACCGGTTTCATTTAAAAGAGGCTAGAGTTGACTTCTGGTGATATCAGTTAAATTAATCTTTGAATAGAGTATTTTCATCCCTAGTGGGGGTCATTACTAAGCTGGTCTGTCTGAATTGAGTGTCAATGATTTTTTAAACCAGTTCTGCAGTGTTTTTCTGCTTCTTTATGTTTATTAGGCTGGCTAAATGGTCAATTCGATCTTTTCCCCATCCCAGTTTTATTCACAGATCTTCCGGACTGGAAAATTTGAGGTAGAATCTCGCCCACTAGTTCAAATTCCTATGCGCTTGATGAAAATAGTCGTGATCAGCCTCTCGTGAGTGCAGAAATTGAAGTTCTCTGGAAGAAAATTTTAAAAGTCCAGTACCGCATAGCCAGCCTCTTTTTTTTTTTTTTCGTCTGATATCTTGAATTTCGGGACGAAACGGAGGAAAACCACGCGTTCATTCCATTCCATTAACAAGAGTTTCGTCTTTCGTTTGATGATTGGTTGTCTGCTTCGGTAAAAATAATGCGTAGGTATCGTAGCTCCCTTTTTCTATTCAGCGAAGGAGAATGCCAATTTTTGTCTTGTGATACCCTTCGAATAAAGTTAGTAAATGCTTCGAAAAGTATGAATATATTCGCAGCCTTCTTTGTTCACGACCATGTGATGATAAATCAGTAGAAATGGCATGTCAATCTATACGACGAATGTTTACCGTTTCCTTGCTATTTAAAGTTGTATTTTCTCATAATCCATTTAGCCGGTATTCCTGAAACTGCGTATGAAGAAAGACATGGGAGACGGGAAGGATGTGGTGTGGGAGCGCCAGGACTCCGTCAGAGGTCTTTCGCGTCGTGGGAAGGGCAAGTCGTTGGCTGTAGAAGGTAGTAGTTGCCCGGTTGTGTCGTCTTTGGACTCATGCCTGCCTGCGCACGATTTCCTGTGTCCGTCGTGTCGCGCTGCGCCGTTGGACCGGTCGCAATCCGAACGTAAGCGGCCCGCGCGCCGCACGCATCAGGTTGCCTCTTCCACGCTTAGTGCCGACGCGTGCCGCAACTGCCGCCGCGCTCGACCTGGCCCGCGGGTCCGAATGCACTTGTTGGCCCGTGGGTCGTCTTCTCGTCCCCTGAGTCACCACTCGTCGTCTGACGAAGAGTGGTTCGAACGGGTAGTGGAGGATGGGAATGCCAAAAATAAAAATGCAGAACCTCCCGGTATCTCTGCTTTGCCGACCTCTTCGGACGCAAACCCAACCCCGCAATCTCAGTTTTTCAAGGCTTGTTGTTGTGTTTCTTAGTTTGAGAACTACCCGAACCGGGGAAACCATGCAGAAACTGTTCAGAATCTTTGATGCCCATCGTACGTCGTTGATTTGGGTAATAAGGTACAATCAGATCGCTTTGATTCCTATTTACCTTGAAGTTGATGACACTGATATTTTTCTGTACCATTTACATAATCTTTACGCAAGCCCCCGTCATGGAGGGGATATCCGGGTTTTTAATGTTGCGAAAAACGGAAGCTTTCGAAACGCACAAAAATTAGTAAAGCTCGTGATACATAATCCAGGGAAATTTTCGGAACCCTCTATAATTTCGACTTGTTGAAGACAACATTTTGTAAATGCCTATTAATGAGGCTTACTTACCACAGCTTTGGTAGGTGTGTCCTTCTCTCAAAGAAACGCCGAACCCACTGCTAAATACAGTACCTAACGGTATTTTTCCAGTGATTGTTGAAACGTCACGTACGAGTACAAGATGAGTTCCACTGAAGAATAATTTTGAAATGTTCCCACTTATATTTTTCTGTATGCTGTACTTGAGAAAAAGGAAGGTTTAGTCCCTTCATATTTTGGCGAGGATCGTTATCTTGATATTTTGAGAAGGTTTATTTGATTATTGCCATCTCGAAAATCACTCAATTGAAGCGATGGAACGTTCCAGAGGCGCGTTTGGGTTGTGTAAATAGCAATTTCAGCGATTGAATGAAGGTTGTTTCGAAGTAGCAAGTAAAGCTGTGATGAATTCTTCATTATAAGCAGTCGCCTCTTTGAAGTTTTTTCCGCGTTCTTCTGTCGAAATGTGTGACGAAGGACGAATTGATTTATTTTAGGGATATATGTGGATATGAGCCTATGTGAGATTGATCAAGTATTTCGTCATTTTACGGAATTTTCCCAATCATTCCGTGATTTTGGCCGGCGTCAAAATTTTGCGTTGCCCAATTTTGGCCTCGAGAGGAGTTGTAATTACTCTACTAACCATGTGAAACTTGTCGCAAGTCGCAACATCGACCGAGAATGTAGTCATTCCTCCTTTTCTTTTAAATGTTACTGAAGCATTCATACCTGAGGTTTTTTCATTTGTGATTGCAATCTCCGCGATTTAAACTCTTCTGCTCGTGTTCTTCATGTTTCCTTTTTATGGAACCTGCTCTGTTTTAGTTCTTTATATGCATTTAGTGTGGGACTGTTTTTATGCGAAGTCGTCACTAATAATGCTCTTGACTCATTTCCATGTTTTGATAAGTCTTTTTAGCTTTTTCGCTCGTATCGAGTTTATTCTTCGTGATTGAAGATAATTTGTTCTGAATCTCAGCGAGTGCATCAAGTGTAGTGAATGCTCTTAACACATTCAGTCATTTAATTCGGCGTATATTTTACCGAAATTTATCTTGACCGCTTTGTACGATTTTTGACCGAAAATCCGGTGCCATTTTTGTTCTGTTGTTTGCCATGAACGTCGCATTTTTCGGCTGTATGGCTTTTCTTCAGTTGAAGACAGCGCACAAAGTGATGCACTTGTTCTAGGGACTGGATTGCAGTAGAAGGTTGTGAAAGGGATCCTTCACTTGGACGTTTGAGTTGAATGGATATGTTTGTGTAATTTGATCGTATGCACGACGTCGGAGTTTGCCTTTAGTTGTGGAGTTAATATCCGAATTTACGAAACACTGACCCGATTTTCCGGGGGTTTCGCAGATGGAATTGTCGAGACTCGAAGCTCGTGCGAAGGATCTCGGAAAGAGACGTCGGTTTGAGGCTCAGCTACCAGGTTCGGTTCAATATATTCCGAATTTCGAAAAGTGCCAATGGGATATTCGTCGTTTCGTGTTTTTTGTACGTAGTTAATCAGATAATTTCGTTTATTGCGCGTTTTTTAACATGCCAAAAGTCTTCCTGATTGGTTTCATCCGGAGACGACAAGCTTTGGTTGTAAAGTGGTCGTGAACGGAGAGCAAAAGTTACCGATCATTTCGAGTCAGTTCAAGTTTGCTTTGTTTTGCTCACGATGTACTCAGATTTTCATCCCAATTTATGCGACTGTTTCAGTTTTTGTGTTTGTTTACAAAGCAGTTTCCTCTCTTGTGTTAGCTTTTTCGAGGACGGTTATTTCGATTTTCCTCCGAAATTATGTGTCACGATACAATGTGTTCAGTGGATGTTTATGACGTTGGTGGGTGTCGTTTAAATTGGAATTTTACGGGGTGAAAAAAAACGAATTATCCATTGTTGCAGACCGTTCTCGTGTCTGTGCATATGTGCGGTATTGTTTCTAATGATGTGCATAGTTTCATTCTTACGCGAAATGGCAAAATCGCTCTGGCACGATTTCTTCAATAGCTTGAACGTTTAATTTGTCCGTCGGGAAATTCGTGTCCTTGGATTCGAGCAATATTTACTAATTTGAAGAAACTAATTTGGTTTGACGTGTTTTTCCGTCTGATCCAGATTGACGCTTATAGAGCGGAAGTAAACTTTTTGTAATGATTTTACTCGTTCTTTAATTGAGGGATTATCAGCCGTTGATGTTTTCTGCGGAAAGCCGCTTTATTGACTGTTCAAAGATGTGTACCGACTTAAGTTAATTATGTCCCGTCAATGCCTTGATTATCTTGGCTTCTACTGAAGTAGTTCAATGCCTGATACCAACTGGATGCAGGAAATGGTGGTTCGAAGTGTAAATGCAGTATGAATTGAGCAACTTGCAAATTTTCTTCTCTTCGGCTTGCTAGTCTTCTTTCGTGTCTTGGTAGTCAAATAAGATTAATGTCGTACCAAATTTTTAAAAGATATCTGACTGTCAGAATACTTGAGCAGTGCATCGTGTAGAAGTGAAAGTGGTACAATCGTTTTAAAAGTGATTATCTCTTCCTGCTCCGTGAGTGGAGTTTTTGGCTTTTTGCAAAGTATTTGACGATGCTTTTCAAATCCTTTAAAAAATTTTGTTCCAAGCTTTAAAATCAATAGTATATTGTAACATGTACATGGTTGAACTTCTGAAATGGCTATTGGGTAACCCCGCAAAGTTGAACTACAGTAATTTTCTTCGGCGAAGAAGTCGTGTTGGAGCTATTTGAAGTACAATTTTTTTCATCAATTTACTGCTGGAAAGTGTCTCGATCTCGTCATTACATTTTCTTTTTTTATTGCAGATAAATGGCTACGGATGAGTTTCTTCGCGAATACTACAAAAGATTTTTCCCGTTTGATCTGTATTATCGGTGGATGAGTTATGGAAATGTGGAGCCGTGGCGCTTTGCAAATCGTGAATTTGCTTACGGTCTTCCCGGGGATATATTCGTGCGATATCGGTCCTTTTTCGATGCTGCCGAGATGAAAGCGGACGTTGTGAAAACGTGCCCAGAGCGCATAGACATAGGTCCGATTTACAACAATCTTCCCAAGCACCACAATACGAATCCACTGACGCCGAGAGAACGCGAATTGTGCTTCGATATCGATTTGTCCGATTATGACGACGTGAGATCGTGTTGCTCTGGTGCGAAAATCTGTGAGAAGTGTTGGAAATTAATGGCAGTGGCAGTGAAAACGATCGATCGAGCTCTACGTGATGACTTCGGATTCCAGCACTTGCTTTGGGTTTTCTCAGGGCGTCGAGGGGTTCATTGTTGGGTTGGAGACGAGGTCGCTCGACAACTGGATTCCACTGGCCGATCGGCCGTCGCTGAATATTTGACGGTAGTTCGTGGAGGGGCTGAAAAGTGCAAGAAAGTTATTTTACCTGAATCGAAGCCGATACATCCGTTGATCTCCAACTCCTTAAAAATCATTGATTCATATTTCACAAAGATTTGCCTGATTGACCAAGATTTGTTGCACACTGAAGCTCAAGCACTTTCGATTCTCAATCTCGTCGGCGACGAAAAACTCAAGAATGAGATGGTCGTCGAAGTGAATCGGCAATGTCGATCAGAAGAGAAATGGCAGGCGATGGAAGAAGTTCTTGATGCGACGATGAAGAAGAAGACGAACCGGAAATTTTCTAACTGCCTCAAAGAGATCAAGCTGCAGTTTTTATATCCGCGATTAGATATTAATGTTACGAAGGGATTCAACCACTTGCTCAAGGCTCCATTTTGCATTCATCCCGGAACGAAGCGCGTTTGTGTGCCCTTCAATCCGGAGTCCGTTGACTCTTTTACTCCAGAAGATGTACCACTTTTGGATAAACTGATTTCGGAACGAACGTATTCTTCATCCGAGGGTACTGAGAACAAAGCGGCCAAGCTGAATAACAAAGCCTACTACAGAGACACGAGCCTCGCAGCTTCCATCGACGTGTTTGAGAAGTTCGTCCTGAATATGGAGAGCTCATGGCGTGGAAAATTGAAGGAGATCGATGATCAAAGAATGGAATTCTGATGCGACCCGTTCCGAAGATTTGTTTACGTTTATAGCCCGTTTTTTTTTTTTTTATAATTCGTTCGCGTGGAATTTCTGATACTATCATGAGTCATGACGTGACGAAGCTCATGTATTTTTTGTCGAAGGAGTTATAAATCATGGTCGAGCCTCTTAGTTATTATGCACTTCCGTGATAATAAATTCTGAGCTCCCGATGGTTTTATGGATAGTTGTGCTACTGGAAAAGGTTGCCGAGTTAGTTCGTTGGGCTCGTTGAACTTTTCGTGCTTTTCTTTTTTCTTCAAGGAGTTGTTTTTTTTTTAACATTTTTTTTAACTGACTTACGATCAGATGAAGGCAAAATTGTTGATCATCGGTGCCGGTCCATCTGGCCTAGCCGCGGGAGAGCGCCTCATAGACTCCTCATTCCAAGACTTCATCATCTTGGAAGCGAGACACCGTATTGGAGGTCGTATCAATTCTATTCTTCAAGGTACGTGTTCCATTTTATCTTCCCGTGATTAGGGCTTCAGTAGACATTCGGGATTTTTTATGACAAAATCGTGACGCGTAAATTGTTTTTGTGAACTTTTCGCTGCGATTTTCCGCTGAAGGAATCATATATCTATTTTTTTTTTGTGATTGTGTTTGGTATATTGTTCAAGCACAATGCAGGGGTGGATTGCTCAAAAGACTTGAACCGTTCCTTTGGATAGTTTATTATAGTGTATGATGAGTTCCGTAACCAAATAATGTGGAGTAGAGGGCATGTATAATTTGTCCCAGATCGGTGAAAAATTAATGCAAAAAAATGCATTAATAAAGTTACTTTTTGAAGCTACTGTGTATGGAATATCGAATATTTTTCGAATTGCAGATGTTTCGTACTTTCGTTAGTGTTGAAAAACGGTTCTCTAGTTCCGATGAGTGTGATTGTTTGCTTATATTTCAAAAATTGAACAACTTCATTGACTCCTCTGATTGCTTTTGTCATTTTGCTTCTGAAGATATTGGACTGTAATCATTCTGAAGATTCATCCATTTCCAGATAATTCAGTTTGAAGCAAACTGTTTTTCAGACTCTTCAAAATCATCTTCGTAGTGGCCTGGAGTCACTGTCCCAAATTCTTTGTACGAAGTAATTGTGGTTGTTTCCGTTTTCGGAGGCATAACTGGGCATAATAAATTCTTGGACAGAAATACTGTACTTACGATCATTCCGGGCTTCGTAACGCATTTTTCTTCACCCTAATGAGTTCATTTGTGCCTGGCCAAAACCATGTTTTGTTATGTTGAGTATAATGTAATATTGTGCTGTGGTTCAAGGCTCATCGTACATCGAACTTGGTGCTCAGTGGATTCATGGGGAAGAAGGCAACGTCACGTATGGAATCGCCAAAGCGCAAGATCTTCTTTCGCGTGGAAAAGACGGAAGCAGTCAATTCATGTTGGACGAGGCTTCTGAATGGTCAAATGTCTTGTTCCTGAGGAGTGATGGATCCGCTCTGATGGACTCGAGCAGTCGAAAAATTGGTTTCGTGACATCGATGATGGAGTCTATGGAGCTAGGGCTGGACTGTGACGAATACAGAAGTGCCGGAAATCATCACGTAGCCGCGTTCAACGAGATGTTGCAAGAAAATCGCTTTCATGAATTGCAGGCAGAAAGAGAAGCAATTTTAGATTGGATACATCGATACATCAATTCCGTTGATGCAGCTGATGATTGGGAACAGGTAGCAAACGCGAATACCTACTGGCGGTGTCCAGGGAATACGAATGTTTGTCTTGAACCGAAGCTTGGATATGTATCGGTTCTGAATCATCTAAAGGTAAGAAAGAATCGTAAATACATGTCGCATCGTTTTTTCTTAAGTATGTAAGAAAATTTTATGTTGAAAAGAGCATCTTTATGCCGGATTTCAATTATGCTCCGATTGTTGGAATAGCCAATCATAATGTTGTTTCAAATTCAATTCGGACGCACGTTATTTTTCAAAATGTAATACAGTATGATTTTAAGTTTTCCAGTTAATCTATATTTTCTATCATGAAAATGCTCTGCTGTCAAACCCTGTCATTATATGTCGTCCACATCGGATTCCTTTCAACGATTATTTTTTGTGCTGATGAGTACAGAAGGACTCTCAGTACGACGAAATTTCGGGAACCAGAAAAAAATCGTTATAGAGAACTTCATTTGGACTGGTAAAATTGGATGGGACCAAATAAATTCGTTACACAGAGAAAATTGGTATTGAAATGGTCTGCCTGTATTACGGTATTGATAGTCTACTTTTATGAGTAACTGAAGCGCAGCTCTGTGATGTACTGTAATTCCAAGAAATGACGGATCTACTCATTCGCAGCGGAAATTCGGAGATCAACATTTAATGCTCGGAAAGGAAGTGACGGAGATAAACTACTCGAACAAATCGATTATTGCTGTCACTTGCGCTGACGGAACGAGATTTGAATGCCAGAAATGCATTCTTACTTTGCCGCTTGGAGTTCTCAAGAATAGACCGGGTATCTTCGTTCCGAGTCTCCCTCAGCGGAAAAAGGATGCTATCGACGTATGTGACGTTTATTTTGCCGAACGAGGAATATGCTTAAATTCTAATGCTAAATTCATATTTAGGCTTTGGGATTCGGTGCTGTGGACAAAATATTCTTGATTTTTAAAACTCGTTGGTGGCCAGAAACTGCTGGGGGTGGCTTCAGTTTTCTTTGGACGAATGAACCTGAGCCAGAATATCAGGTTAGGGCTTATGTTTCAGTTTTTATCCCATTCACAGTTGGCCATTATTCGCTGGAATGAGCGCAAAAAATTTTGCACTCTTTTTCAGGGATGGCCCCGGTCTCTTCTGGGATTTTATGCAGACCCCGGTTACGAAAACGTCTTGTGTGGTTGGATTAGTGGCGACGGCGCTCGTGCGATGGAAAAGGTTCCCGTCGAAAAAGTTGAATATGTATGTGTAGCACTTCTGCGGAAATTCACGCGTGGTCTCAACTTGGATATTCCCGAACCAGTGGCGATACATCGGTTCGAACTTGATTCTTATTCGTAATGGATGGATTGCTAGCTAAGTTTTTATTCATTTTTGTAGGTCTACCTGGGGGTCCGATGAATTTTCCCGAGGTTCTTACTCGTACAGATCTGTGGTTTGTGATGAAAAGGGAATCGGTGCTGTGGATCTTGCTGAGCCAGTTTGTGATGGAAGCGAGAATCGGTTGTATTTTGCTGGAGAAGCGACCCACTCGAACTTCTATTCCACCGTTCATGGTGCTATCGAAACCGGTTATCGTGAAGCGGATCGCTTCATCGAAGATGAGAAACGAGATCTTTTAAAATAACTGAAAATTATAAATATCCCCGTTTCTTTTTCTTCATTGATAAAAACCGGTGAATAGTTTTGTTTAGCGCTTATTTTTATGTTTGGGCATCTCGCAAGAAGGTTGAAGGTTACATTTTTCCAATCCCGGGTGAGTCTGCAATATGTTATTTCTATTTTGTTACCTGGGATATTTTGTCGCAAATTTATTGCGAATGAATCGGAACTTTTGACTGGATTCGAAGGTTCGAATGGTATTGATTGATTCGAAACAATCGACTTTTGAATAAATGTTTTCCTCAGAATTTGCCTTGGCTTTCTTGGAAATGTTTGTTTTTATTTTAATAAACGCGCAGTTGATTCTTGGTTTTCCTTTGTTGTTTCAAGATGCCTGAGCATTCGGAATTTCATAGAGTTGTAATCGTCGGTGCTGGTGTGACTGGATTAGCTGCAGCCGATTTTCTTTACAGGAATGGAATATCCGATGTATTAATCTTGGAAGGTAATTTTTCAATTTGGTGGGTGTTCATGAGTTAAAGCAAGAAAATAACATATTTCAATGTGTTATGCTTTCAGTCATGTTAATATTCTTTGCCACGTGATTCCTTCGTCGAGTTGGACCTAATCTTTGAAGTACAGAACAAATTATGTATGAGTTTTGTCAGGCTTATGCTTCCTTTTCGTGGCTGACGGGTGATTTTTTGAGTAATACATTATACAGTATTCGACTTCTTTCTGAAAATGTTTTCTCACTGAGAATGAATTTGAGCGTCGAAAAGGCATCAGTTTCCTTCTGGTTAACGTACAGCACGTGCCTGTTTCATGAAATTGCAAAGAGTGGTAGTTACTTGCGGAGAAATGCGAAAGATTTGAGGTTTAGAGTATTTTGATAATTTGAAGACCAGGGTCCATCTGATGAAACATTCTAATGCATTTTTAATGTTTATGGTACTGAATGTAAAGGTTAATCAGCATTGTCAACTGGTCAGCAAGAAGTGTTCAAAGTTTTGGCTGGCTGCAATTGAAGAAAATCCTCAGCAAATGAACAGATGAGACTTTCATCAAATCTTGTTTTTGAGCCTGCATTGTTCAGACTAAGTTCGGTTGCAAAGTTCTGGTACCACGGCGAAGTTCACGTCAAGATGCTGAGCTTGGAAAATTTCTTGAGTAACCCTCATAGGTCATGATCATTATAATTGTGTTTAATATTAGCATCTTCCGATGATATTAGCACAAGATCGAGTTGGTGGTCGAATATGGACTGTTCCCGATGGTGACCATGTCGTAGAGCTCGGTGCGCAATGGATCCACGGAGAAGTTGGTAACTCCTTGTTTGATTTCAGCTCCGCGCGTGGGCTCATTGATACCGAAAGCGTCAGTTATGAGGCCGAAGGATTGTTCTACACGAGCAGTGGGGAACAATTGAATAATGATATTGTTGATCGTGCTCAAGCTGTCATCCGAAAGGCTTATGATCAGTGCAGCAAATTTTCCCGAGAGCCGGAAGAATCGTGGAAAGAAAAGCTTCCGTCTTCTGTTGGAGCGTTTTTCAGGAAGAAGTTCCTTGAGCAATTCGAAATTCAGAATTCGCTCCACGAAGGATTATGGAATTGGTTGATGCTGTGAGTAATGTGGCTGAATTTTCGCAGTCCTACTTCGTTTATTCTAGTTCGTATCCTAGAAGCTGCCTTTTTTTCAGTTACGAGAAAATTGACAACGCTTGTGACTCCATGTATGAATTATCCGCGCTATCTTGGGGAGAATGGTCAGATTGTGACGGAGAATGGCATGTCAACTTGAAGAATGGATACTCCTCCGTTATTACAGCGCTGCTTGATAGCCTCAAACCTGGAGTACATTCATTGAATGACGAACACCGACCCATTTTACGTTTACGTGAACCGGTTGATAGCATCCATTGGATGGTGGACATGGATAATGCGACGTCCGAGTCAAATCCTCATTATTCACTGGTCGAAGTGCACGCAGCATCTGGCAAAGTCTACTGTGCTACTCATGTGATCGTCACTGTATCGCTTGGTGTTCTGAAAGAGCATTTGGACTCGTGGTTTAAGCCGGATCTACCGGCTAGAATGCGTTTAGCTATAAAATCATTAGGATTTGGAGTTATTGATAAAATATTTGTTACTTTTCCGTTCGCGTTTTGGGAGAAAGATTGCCGAGGTATACACCTGGTTTGGACTGAACCTGAGGAAGAAGGGTCTACAGTGCGTACATTAATTCTCTTCGGGTGTATTTTTAATATTTCATTTTATCGTTGCGCTTTTCGCATCAGATGGCGGATAATTGGGTTCGAGGCATTACTGGCTTTGATCCAGTCATCCGTCAACCTTGTACCTTGGTTTGTTGGCTCGGCGGGGAAGAAGCAAGGTTTATGGAGACGCTTTCTGAAGAAAAGATTAAGGAGGCCCTTGTGGCATTGTTGCGGAAATTCTGCGCGGACCTCAACGTACCAGATCCTGTGCGGATCTTGAGGTAAAAGGTAGGACAGATAATCAGGGTACTGAGGTTCCTCAGTTAACAGAGTTATTTATTTTTGGTAAGAAGTCTATTACAGGTGAACCTTGATAAGTTGAACCTCCCTAAGTCAAATTTTCTGAGGTCTTCTGGTTATTATTTACTTGAAATATGGAAGAGATAGTGATTGAAACAAATAATTTGATGGATCTTGAAAGTAAGTGAGACAAATACAGCAAATGAACCCCTGCCTCCAAGTTCAGCAAGCTGTAAATTCATTAAGGAGCAAGTTTAAGCCCAGAATATCTCATTTATGATTTTCCACACTTTTTTCACTTCTCCTCACAACAGAAGTCTTTGTTTCTTTAACTGGAAACTTCTGAAAATCAAAACCTCCAAAATTCGACTTTGTTTCCTGGTCCCTAGAAATTTGACTCGCAGAGGTTCGACTGTATCTGGATATTCTATTAACCAAGTAATGTAAACCCAGCTTTCTAATTGGGTTCAGACCCCAAAAAGTACATAACTGAATAATTCAAACCTAAACAGATAAACTCAAGTGGGCCAGATTCTGTGGGAATCCTACATCAATTCTTGAATAAATTTGCTTTAAAAAAATGTAGCGTGTTCCACATCTAGAAAGGATATTGTAATTTCAAAAGTTTCAAAAGAGGAAAACAGCGCTCTATACAATTGGGGTAAACCAAAGATTTATCCACTGGGGATTGCCTAGCAGTCACAGTTCTCGAGCAAATTTGATTATTTTCAAGGACAAACTTTTTTCTTGCAGCTTATTACCCCAAGCAGGCTCCACTATCAGATGCTAAATTTGAGGTGTCCCGGTCAATTGGGTAGAATGTGGTTTGAGCAAGGCGTCATTATCTGAGGTATTTCTGTTGCATTATCTGGGCTATACAAAAAATTACAGCACTAGGTTTTGATAGTCTTGAATTTCTCAATGCCTTTGAAAAGTGAACATTTAATTTTTTTGAGCTTTGATTTGATTATTTTCCACAATTTAGTGTAATTTAAATTTTCAACTGTTTAATATGACCATCTACCCTTCTACAGTATTTCAAAGGCAATTGTGTGAGAAATACTGCAGTGTCTCCATTTTCGCTGCCATATTCTGAAGTCTAAACAAGCTGAAAGAGGTTAATCTTTCTCCGAAATCAATTGATGACGCACTTCCATACGTTTCGGTGAAATTTCACAGAATGAAATTATTTTTAAAAGCATTTTGATTTGGAAAAAGCTACTTTTTGCCAAGGTCGCAGTGGTGGTCAAATGAATACTTTCGGGGATCTTACTCCCATCGAAACTTGCGTTCAAATGAGCTTGGCGTGAAAGCAACGGATTTAGCTGAACCATTATACCGTATGGATGAAGCGACTGGCAGAAAGGTGACTTCGAAACAGCAAATCGTATATTTTTCCATTCCTTCACGAAAGCGAATTTTTATGTTCTGGAGTAGGTACCTGTGGTCATGTTTGCTGGTGAAGCTCTGCACAGCACTTATTACTCAACAGTGCACGGTGCTTTTGAATCTGGGAAAAGCGTTGCACTTGATTTGATTCGAAGCTTCACTGATCTCTGAATGTACAGAAATCGTTAGTATGCGTGTGTCACATTTTTTTCAAGGTTTACACATTTGTGATGTTTTCTATGGGCTTTTTCCCCGTTTCCTGAACTCTCATGTGAGTTTCGCTAAGTCCAATAACTTCGCAAGCGAAATCTAATAAGAAAAGTTATCTTATTTACCTGAATAGGTTTACTTCTTGGTTTGCATTTTTAGGAAACGTTTTTGACCTTTGAAGCCCAGTTGTGGAAAATTTGCGTAGGAAGCATAGTTCAAATCATCAATTTTACGAGTCCTCTGTGTGGTCAAAAATTGTTGTTCGTCTCCGGAGAAGTAAGCTACGAAATGAGTGGTCGTTCACTTCTGGCTGAGGTAGACTAATCTATGAATAAATTTCATCATGCTGCCTTCTCGATCAATGATGCCTGATTTTTTTTTTTTTTGTTGAAAGTTTCTGATATGGCTCGTCCGTAAATTTTATCGTACAGTATTATATCTGACACGCTTTTATCTAGGATTAATTTAATGTATTCTTGTTGTTCTGCAGAAGATGAATCTTCGCCGTTGATAAAAAGGTCGAAATAATGTGGAAAAGGTCGTTAGAAACAAGTTTTGTTTGAAGATAAGACCCTACTGAAACTCGTAACTGTGCTGTTATTATAACCGACCGCATGCTTTTTATTTTATTTTTTCAGTTATTATTATCACCCTTGTCGCGCAGATCAATTTGCTCTTTCTGCCACGAAAGCTTACTTTTTGGAGTACTGTAATCTCTTCTTGTGTTGCTGCCTTTGCATTTTAAAGAATTCGTTGCATTTTTCACAGGCGAGATGCTGATACGAAGCCATTTGCAAGTCCTCCGTTTGGCTCATTTCGTGGTGCTCAAATTTCAGGAAGTCCGGCATGAAAAGGAAATTGACAATCTTTTATTTTTTAAGAACGTTGTGCCAAATTACAAAAACGCATTGCTTACGGTGGGCGAATTCGTCCAAGTGAAGTACCGGTATATGTCAATAACGATCAAAAATGTTGATATTGCAGTACGATTTTCCCAATTTTGATGTCTTTCCTGATATTGTTCCCGACATTTTCGTGCTCTGATGAAGTATAGCCAATCTGTTGATGAAACGCGGTTTTCCCTTGTATTTCGAAATTTGAGAAGTATTTCGTGTAGTTTAATTTTTAGAATGTTCTTCAGATGGAGGATGTGATGGAAGAAGACTTTGTGTTGATCAATTCGAACGGGATTGTGTATGAGCCTCTTCAGAATACCCCGTGCACTCCCGGAGTTTCCACTAGCGTGGACGCATTTTGGGAACCGTCGGCTTCAACAAACGAATGTCAAGAAACTGCCAAAGATTGTGGCGATGTTCCGTTTCAAATGAGCGCAGAATTACGGAAATCACTTGGCCATGGCGGAAATGAATTGTCCGTTCTCCTCAATGCGGTGCAACGATTGCTGGACACTGTCGATCTGGACACAAAACGAGAGGCCTACAGTTTTAACACGGAACGCGAGATCTTGAGTTGGAGTCCTTGAAAAACCTTGATATTGCGGAATATTTTGTATTCGGGAATGCTGTAGTTTCTTTCTTTCTCGTGAACGTTTGAATAAGTTATTTGCTAACCGTTGTTCAAGTTAACTCGCTTTCCAAAGATTGAGGAAGATGTACGGATTTATCCGTATTATGAAACGGTCACGATGAATTTGTGGTAAATATAGCTATTTGTTTTGAATCGGATCAGATCGGTAATGTCGGGTATTCAATCATTCAAAACTGCATGTGTTTTATGAATCAGACGATTTCTCTTTTTTCCGCGCTGCTGCGAAAGGCTGTTCGATATGTTGTGAACACAGATATCATCAAGAATCGTCTGTTCGTGAGAGCTTTGCAAGGTAAGACCGATTGATTGTATCAAATCTAAAAATGTGCGTGAATAAGTTTGCACAAATATTCATTGAAATTTTTCTTTACGCAGGATGGAAGCTGTGCACAGAAATGCTTTCCTAGATTTAATATTTCATCTGAAGGACGGTACTATAGCTGCGCATAAAAAAGTTCTCGTGGAGAAAAGCGAATATGTCCAAAGAATCGTTGGAAAATTTCCGTCTGCTGTGGCTGTCATCCAATTACCCCAGTTTTCCTGCGCAACGATCAAGAATCTGCTCAACTTCATATATACTGGCGATTTAGTGGTGAACGGTTCAAAAGCAGCTGCTGATCTTTACTACGCTGCTTGGTGCTTGGAAGTCAAAAGCGCACGTTTGACGACGGCTTGTGATTGCTCGTGTCACGAGGTTTTTGAGTTGACTTCTGTATTTTTTTTTTATTGGTCGAAGTTTCTCTGAACAGGCTTGTATTCAAATTAAAATATATTGCACTCTATTTGTTTGTTCAGCGTGTGTAAAAGATCTTACAACCAAATCCATTGCTATAATCATATTTTCGAGTTTAAATGTTGCACACTCGTGCAGCATCTATAGCATTGAAAGGTATGGCATTTTTAACTCAATAGAAAGATTGAAACCATTTTAACTTGGAAAAATCTAGAAATTCCAAATTTGATTTTTCACTCTCATACTACTGTATCAAGTAATTTTCGCCCAGGGGTCATTTATCTGCTTGTTAGCGCATTTTGCAGAAATATAGCCGTTGCAATTTTGAATAGGTTATTTGAATAGTCATGCTGTTTCTTGTTGCAGTTGCACAAACCACTATGTACTTCATCCGATGCTGAGGACTCCGACGGTGAAGAAACGAGCTCGGAAGATGTGAATCCACCAACACTCATTGGTTGGAATTCCGAAGCGACTCCGCACATTCCGTTGGGAAATTCACATGATTGCTTCAGTGGCAACCCTGTGGTCCCAATGGTTGTAGGCAATTTTTCTCGAGTCGAAATTTCCTCTGAGCAAACTCCTGATCCAAATATGAACATGGATGTGTGTCCTCAAGAGGTCACTTTCGAATGCGACTGACCCAAAATGTACGTTCGCGATTATAAGTTCTAATTTTTTTCGTTCAGGTTGTTACCACGATTCTTCCGAAACGTTCGCGCACTCTCCCGAGTGTATCGCGTGCACCTGAATTACTGACGGATACTCCGATTGTAGTTCCTGAAGAAATAAAAGCGACAATGCCGTCAGGAGTGACATACTTCGAGCACATTACCAAGATCATCTGGCGGGGAGTGCAAGATGGAGCAGCTGTTTTCGTCTGCCAATTGTGTTCTAAAACGTTGAAGAACAAGCAGGGAGCCTTATCTCATGAGCGTGCGCACAAGCGAAAAAGTGAAACTTGAATGAAGCATTGGGAGATGAGGGGATATCTGGTCATTAGAAAATTTTCAAAATACTTTGAAGATGTCATATTGATGGACCAAGTGCTGACTGCGATTATCTGTAGAAATTCTTGGATAGAAATTGCGTGGACTCAAGCAAACTGAGCGAAATGCGTCAAAAGGGTTTCCTATTTCTTTTTGCTTGGAAAAAATGAAATTTTCTGGATTTTTATATTTGGAAAGAAATGGTTGTTCGACAGAATGCGTCGCGAAATATTTCCTGTGGTTTTACCTGTGATGAACGAGCATGTGTTCAAAATTTCAAACACGTCGAAAGGAATTCCGAAATTTGAGGCGTCCAAAGTTTGAGCTTTTCGTGTTCTTCTGGATTGTGAAGTGTGAACATTTCTATAACCGAGTAATGTGAGCTCATCGGTGAGTGAAATCGTGAGGCGCTGTGCGAACATTACTGAATTACGTTTGTGTCAGAAATGGTTTAAACTTTCTTCAATTCGGAAGTGTTTTAATTTTCGTACGCTATGCGATTTTCAAAATACTGTATCCAATTTGGGGGTTTGTAAATTTAAATATTCACCTAGTCCGTAGGATTGGCTTGGCCATTTCTTGTTGTACACTGCCTTAAAATTCCAGTATTTTTTAGGCTATCTGTTACTAGTGACAACGAAGTTAAGAAACCGTGTGTTGCAATTGGCTGACTCTTCTATTATTCATAAAAGGCTAATCCGGTGGTTGGAGATTGGAAATAATTGACTATTATAAGTATTATTTTCAAGCATCAGATGATCTGGGCTGCCCTACTTGAAAAAAAAAGAAGAGTACAGTATAGGGAAAATCACGAGCTATTATTCGTTTTTGAACGGCGAGGCATGAAGGGAAATCATGACCAGGATTTGTGTAGACTGCCGCAGATTTTTTGCAGGCACTTTTTTATTATGCCGGAAGAACTGAAGCAGTGGGTGCACGAAGTGACAAATTTTAGTTCACAGTACGCGAATGAAGAACGAATTTCATTTTCCGTGAATAATTTGCCCGGTGTGCCGAATGTGTATCCCCATCACGGAGAAAGCGTTGAAGCCTTCGAGCTCCGTTCTTATGGCGCATGGGACCGCCAATCTCCGTCGTTCCTGTCCAGCTATTTGAACGAACCCTGGGCTTCGAAAGTTTCCAGAACCGTGACTGATTTCGTTGACGTGAAGCTTCGAGTACCTGTAATACCGTCCAGCATAGAAATTTTCGAAACTTACAATCCCGGAGCTGTTTCCGCAATCTGGGCTTTCCGGTGGGCGAATAACAGTTGGACATCGCTGTGGGCCTCGAACGGCGTACCGGGCGACACGGAAAGTCACAAAAGTGGGACATCAAGAATTTTCAGTCCTCAACTGCGGAAAATTCCGTTCAAGACCGAGTACGTATATGTGATGTGTCAAGCACAATTTCTCGGAATTCGATGTTTGTTTTGGTTGTCATGTTTATTTGTAGAACTAATCCATGGAGTCCTAAGTAAATTTCCCAAAGGCTCAAAGCTGCATTGTGTCAGCCAGTTGTTCGAAGTATAGAACATGAGAAAACTGCTTCGAACTGAGTTAAAATCATGAGACATGATGTTCCGTATACTGTGACCTCGAAAGTTTTTATTACATTTTGCCCTCGTTTTCTGAAATTGAAACCTATTGCTGGGCGGGCCATGAGTAGTAAACCGATTCCCCAGTGTTAGGTCTCTTAAATGGGTAAAGATATTAAAGTACAGTACTTGAAGAAGAAAAAAAGGTGAAGGGGAATCTTTACAATTTGGAATGATGTCCAATTTCATAGTTCGGATGTCAAGCGCCGACAATGAAGAAATTAAACAAAAAATTGGTTCGGGCTATTTGTTTTTATAAAGGTTGATGGGCTTTCTGGTCCTATTCTGCGAGTCTTCGAAATTTAGTACTGTACAGTATTTCGAAGCAGGCAGCAACATATCCATATTCCTCAGAAAGATATTTCCGACATTATTTCCATTTTTCAGTTTTCCTTCTGGCAGCCCCGAGAAAGAGAATGAATCTGGTGGTAGCAGGATGCAGTTTTCTGGTTCCAGTTTTGTGCTGTCCCATTTTTTTTAAATTCGTTTTTTCTGTATTTTGTGCCAAAATACTGTACTGTATTAATGATTGAATATTCTGATATCAGTATATGTAAAAACCATTTAACTTGAATGATTCACGAGAAAAGTTGAAAAATTGAAATACGCTGCATTTTGTCATCCGCACAGTGCATGATGAGGATTTTTTTTCGTTCGTACACTCGTATCCTATTAAAATTACATTTATTAAATTTTTTTTTTCAGCTTATTGCGCTTCGAGTTTAACACCAGTTACTCGCCACATCACGTTCAAATCGATGCGATCCGCGTGATATCGAATCCAGGTGTAATGGTAGATCCTGTTGTCGAAGAGCGAAATGTCGATCACACCTCAGAATTACGGAGGAAAGTGGCAGAACTCAATCTCCGGTGTGATCCGGCCGACCTCCTGGCTGTGTTCTCAAAATTCATGGAACAAGAGTATGCAGATTTCGTTAAACATTTCCAGTCTAGACTGAATGGCTTGGAATGGCTTCCGGATTATGTGATCATGAAAATACTCGGATACTTGGATTTGAAATCTCTCTGTGCGCTCAGTCGAGTGAATCGTCATTTGTATCGATTGTCGAGCGATCCGTTACTGTATCGCAAACTAGACATGCGCCCGTATTGGCCACAGTTGCGTGGAAAATGTTTATTCAAGTATTTATCATCAAAATGTAGTGTTCTGCGGATGTTAGATCTGTCGTGGTGTGGATGCTACGGCGCAATAACTGCGAATGAATTCTGCAAAATCATGGATCGATTCGGACATACACTTCTTGGGCTGTGGTTGGATTACTGCGATTTTCTCACCAGCGATGTAATCAAGATGCTGCATATTTGGTGTCCTCAACTCAAAGGTGTGCTTGTTAGCTCTCATAATTTTCACTTCAGTTTTTCCGCAGATTTTTTTGTTCTGTTCTCGTCGAAAATGGAAGTCGATCTCGACTTCGTTCGCACGGAATTATTCGTTACGAAAACTGATCGCGAGAAAACATTAGAATTGTTGGGGAAAGCGGACGAACTTGCACTAAGGTTAGTGCAATCATTTGCGAGATGTTATGTATAAACCTACTCTCGCTACAACGATTATCTCTGCATATTTGTTTCCCTTACGGGTCTCTGCCCATACAGAGGTTCTCTACAAAGAAATTCTCTCTACAACGAATTTTTTGCTTGTCCCATGAATTTTTTGAAGAAAGAGTCCATCTAAATTTTTATCTTTGGTCCCGATTTTGCTTCGATTGTTTTCCTGGCGTATTTTCCAATTTTTATGAAAACAAATTTGAGAATCATTTTATTTCAAACAAACTGAAATTTCCCTTCTGTTTCGCTGGTCTCGACAGCGTCTTCTATACTTCATTTTTCATTTACGTTGAATTTGGCGGAGTTACCGAAAAGTTGGTTAAAATCCATGGACGAATTTGTTTGCTGAAATTTTACTCGATGCCACAAGGAAAAAACATGGTAGAGTAGAAATATCCCTGGGAAAGAAAAATATTGGCATTTAAGAAATTTCCGGAAAATCCTAAGTGGATAAACGGAATTTCTGCTCAGATACAAAGTTTAACTATATTTTCATAATATTTTCATGCACTCAAATCATTATCCTGAATGATCACGATGCTCATTTCGTGGGGCCCCGTTTTTTTTATCACAGTAGTTCAAAAGCAGAGGGCCCCTGTACTGTATTCATTTCAACTTTTTAAGTCACCGAGAATCAAGAAATATGTCCGACCGCTGCAAAACTTAATCTCACTGTACAAATCGGTGTATTCTTCCGTTTCTTCGTGCGTTCATAAAAAATTTCACTTTTTTTTGTCCTTTTTTTTACTTGATTGTATTTTTCGACATTTTCTATTGATTCGTTTGATCCATTTCGATTGTTCGCAACATATTTCACGCATTATGCATTAAAATACAATATTTTAAAATTCTAAGTGTTGAATCAATTGGGATGACGCGTGAAACTTGGTTTTATCAATTGAATTGTATTATTGAAATATTTTTAAACAATAATATTAAATTCCAAATCGAATGGGTATGGAATCTGATTTTCAGAAAATCGAATGATCATTATACATTTTACAGCAGTGACTTGTAAAACTGGTGTCGTAAAGCGTCAGAGTTGTACGCCATTCAAAATATTTTTTTTTCAATTGTTCGTGTTGCTAGGATCAGAAAAGGTACCTTTGTGACCCAGCATGCGGCGAAAAATTTGGGAGAATCAACCTTGAAAATGATGCAGTGCGTACAACCTGTTGTGCAGGCGTGCTTAGGATCAACTAAATCGGACGCCCCCTCTGAAATCTCGGGAGATTCGCGGAATGTTTGACGAAATGTTGTTTTCCCGGAAGTTGAGAGTTTTTATTTCTTTCTGATGCAAACCAAAAATATGTTTCTCCATTAATTTTGATTTGTTTTCCTACAGAACTGAGTTTATGCGGTTTGCAGCTCAAAGGAGATCCTGCTCAATCTGGTTTCTTGTCACTTCGAGGACTTCGGAATTTGGAAAGATTGAACCTATACAGAACGAATATATCGGAGGATGCCCTAATCATGGTCCTTGATTCCTCTCCGAATCTAAGGCACTTGCTCGTTGGTAATCAGCATAGATGTCGTTTTTTTATCCATTCGTGTATACGTGTTCGTGTACTGTATACTGATGAGAAGTTTACTCATGTATAGGTTCGTGTTGGAGCGTTGAGTCGATGGATCGTGTTGCCGCCGTTGTCCCGGTGTTCTGTCCGCGTATCGAATCCCTTGATCTATGGAGAGCTCCAGGTTTTACAGTGGCTGGCTTGACCTCAATTTCGAAGTGCTCCATGTTGCGAGAACTCGTTCTTGGCTGGACGTGAGTTCATTCTTTTCTTTTTTAATCCAACGCTAATATCGTCTATTACTGTGTGCTGATGTCTTCAGTTTGGAAGATTGTTTACTTGAACACCACGCCTTACCTCCAAAATACAGTACATAAGGGATTTTGTTGAATTTATATTTCTACTCGATTCTTCGTTTCGCGGAACAACCCGTTTTTGTTGAATTGCTGATGCTGGGGAAAAACCTAGTTCAAATCCAACAGCACTAATTTGCTGCTAGATCATTCATTTCTTAATGCATATCGATATCAGTCAGTTGTTCATAGTGGAATACATGTCGTGCTGAACTGCTCAAGTAGTTTCTTCTTAATCTCATGAAGATCCAAAATTTGTCTCTCCCAATTTTTGAAAATATATAAACCTCATTTCGGGGAATACTTAGAGATTAATATAGAAAGGTTTATATCGAAGCTCGTTTCAAGAGAAACTCGTCCTGCGTTAAGAAGCTTCTGATGATTTCAGGATTTCTGAAGACAGCTCTTTTCATGCGGCCTTCCGATTATTTTGCTGCGGTGTACCGAACTTGCAGAAAATTGATCTGTCGGCCTTCAGAATTCTGTGCGACGCTGATGTGGACCACATGTCGAGATGCTGCCCAGAACTGATGCAGGTCATTTTAATGGGTAACCGAACGGTGACAGTTTCAAGCGTCAAAAGGTGTGTTTCTGAATATTCTCTATTCTTGAAAGTATAATCTGACAGACAAATCTGACAGCAATAGATAACCTTAATGACCAGAAGCATTTTTTCCTTGAATTTAGTATGAAGTTATTCGAACGATAACCTTTCTTTTTCAGTTTAGTTTCGAGCTGTGTGAATAAATGAAAGCGTATTCTAATAATCTATTCTGTTCGCGAGAATCGGCCGACTGTGTTAATCAGCTTGATTTCAAAATCTGTCTAAAATGATGTCAAAAGGATGTTGACGATTTCTTCGCTTTTTGTTCTCGGTTATTGTGCTTATCAAATCAAGTGTTTTTATTTCAACATTTTGGTCCAAATTCTCTAGATTGCTTGTGGCTTGCAGAAGTCTGCGCCTCCTGGATGTTGGATACTGCAACGTTTCAAGATATGAAGTGGAAGAATTACGTGCGCAGTATCCGAATGCAACCATAATTTGTGATTGAATGTGGAATAAATTGCGTTGAAGCAATGCACGTGGAAGTACTTTGCAGTATTTTATCACGAAGCTTATCTTCATTCAGTTGCTGTGAACTCCGGACATGGCGTTAATATTGACCTTTTTCTGAGTTGATTTCTGCGATTGTCAATTTGCCGGGCAACGGGACAGACAGACAAGTACTGTAAAAGTAATATGATGGTTTACCATGATTATGGTTCATCGGAAAGATTTGTTCACTGCGTCAGAAATAATGAATTATCATTAAATTGTAGTGAACAGTTTAAATACGGGAACAGTTTTAGGAAAGAAGATGCTTCGCAAGCATACGAAGAAAAGGCTTGTTTTCAATTGCGAAGCGTATAATAAGAGTCAAAGAGGGTTTTTAAACTGAGAAAATCGGTCCGGAGAAGAACTCTGATCCGTATATCCGAGTAGGGTTGTGGCTGAGTCAAATTTGTAAAAGCCCTTGCTACTGTTGCCATCGAGAAGTCCGTCCACCGCCACTCTACACAGGGTGTAGCTCGCTCGATGGCAACCGACCTTTCATAATCGTACCCATCTGTATACGGTATATGTGCCATGACTGACCAGATATATACTGTATATATATATATATATATATATATATAATACAACATATGCTTCCTTATACTCATGGCTGCTAAGTATATGTCTCGTCGTTTTATTTTACAGTACAGTACATCATACATTGTTCTTTACTGATGGAAGTCAACTGAACAATATACAGGAACCATGAATAATAAATTATTAAAGTTGTCAGTGGAAGATATTGCTGAACAATCATTTAACATGTTTTTACGTGCAGTATTAACAGTTTCTCCTTATTAGTGATATATTTATAAATGGTTATTTTTCGTATGATAGAAGATTATTTAGTTTTTAGAGATAATGTGGAAATTTTTGTTAAAGTTTTTGGAAAATGTGCACACAATTTGACATAGAAGGTTTAATCTATCTATTTTAATTAACTTCAAAGCAACATGAAAATGTTTTTTTCTTTTGGCTTAGATATGCCTTTTAATTATGAGCTGATGTGACCTGTGAGTACAAATACGGGTACATGAGGTAAGACTTCATCACACCAGAATTATTGTACAGTACTATACGCATAATACAGTATATGTAAGCTGCATCACTCATCTGCTAAGCTGGATGCGTTTTAAAAGGAATTTTATTTAAACTACTGTACATTGCTGAAGTTTTCATCAATCAAGCCAAATTGTTCCCTGCTGAAAATTTTTCGATCATGTGGTTTTAGTCATGCTGTACATATATTATCATAAATAACCCGCACTTTCACGCCTTTCGGAACAGTCATGGACGTGTTACCACCACCAGCAGCAGCACAAACCCTTCATAATACTGTACAGTAAAACGTAGGAAGTAATAAGTTCTGGTCAAACGCATGTTCATGAAGGAAGTGTGACAATTATCTAAATCTTTGTAATTTAATTCGATTTGCTCATTCAAATTTCTTCTGCGCGCGAACATGCTTCATGTGATATGAGCGACATCTGCCGAAGTAATTTATGACAGGTATATCGCGTTTCCCTCCCGGAAGTACAGTACAGTACTGTACTATATTACAAATCGGTAAAATGTAAAATAACAGTTGAAGACGGAATGTTGCTACATGGACGTTTTCAGGATTTCTACAAGATTTGATCCGCGCTGCTTGACATCATCCGTAGTGACCTATCCCGTGATAAAGTACTGTAATGTACGCGTACAGCCTATTTGACCCGAACAAATCCAGGATTCAGTTCAACTGACCTACTGTCGAGCATCTGCGACAAAGCCTCTCCCTCTCTACCTGGCTTTCGGGGTGCCGTGCAAGTGTATCAGATAATTCATCGGAACGTGATCTTAAGTAAATACGTGAAATTACTGAGGTCATAAGATTCTTCCAGGTCCTGCAAGTACAGCTGAGAAACGATGCGTATTACTATTATCCTACTACGAATTCGCAATCGCTGATGAATGTGCCGTAGAACCGGATAAGCTGTTCCGGTCTGTAGAATAATTCGTGCGAACTATTCCTCGGAGCTAGCCTCGAACTACTTCAGTGAAATGAAAACGAACGCGGTACTCACAAATGCGGCTCCAATTTTGTAAAGCTTCGGCTTTTTTTTCTTCCGCGATTCGCATTATGTAAATGGTCTTCTGTTACCACGTGCGAAGCTTTCGGCTGCCGTATTTACAATCGTGTGGATACACTTCTAAAGTGATATCACTTTTTTTATCTTTCAGAAACGATTCTCCGCTGGAAGTGATCTGTACAGGAAATGGCAGCGTTGTTGCGGATCTCGTTGTCGTTGTTTGTTCTGCTGGAAGTGCTCAATGTGGTCAAGTCCTGCAATAAGGCTATTTGCGGAGCTGTCGTCAGTAAATGCATGCTGATGCAGTCTTGCAAATGCGAACGCAAAGCAGCATGTGTTTGCTGCAAGGATTGCATGCATTGCCTTGGGCATTTGTACGCCGATTGCTGCTCTTGTGTGGATCTATGTCAAGAAAAGAATCCTTCAGAGACTGATATCGGAATCGAGACGCATTCTGAAAGATTCGACAAGGCTGATCCAGCTTTGTTCGATACAATAATGCAAGATGATGATGCACTTGATCGTTGGCACGTAAAACGTACGGAGGAAAAATGGTCACAAGCTGAAACTGAGCAATGGGAGATGAAATTCGGAGAAACAGTGTCGGATAGCTTTGGTTCCTTGCAAGCTGTTAAGTATGACAAATCTGGCTTGAAGAAGGTGAACTGCACCGTGGCATACCTTCCTGACTGTATGTCATTGGCAAAATGTTTAGACATCTGTCGTGGACTGGGGTCCAGCGGTTATCAATATTTTCCTGACGGATGCTGCGAATGCTTTGGTTCAATGTGCAAGAATAACGGAATCGATCAGTCGCAGTGTCGAAAATGTCCGGGCGAGGATGAACCGGATTTCGAAGAAGAAGATTTATATATTCACCGAAATCTTGAAGAACAGCAGGCGGAAACGAACGTTGAAAAAGATTCTGTGAGCCAATCAGAAATGCAGAATGACATATCCGCAGCGTGACAGCCCGTGGTTCATTGAAACGAATGACAGAAGTGCATTCAGCGTATTCTTGCCAATTTGCTGTTCAACGAAGAGCAAATACATTTTTGATGAACGCGCTGGCGATTTTCCTAATGGCTTGCCAATACTGTGTGCCAAATTCGCCTCTCTGGTGAAATTGCTAATGCTTGGAAATACAGTCAAACCGAGTGCCTTCGAATGTACTATAATGTATATTGGATTTGACTATGTCCTCTAAATTTACGTGCCAGCTTGCGGGCATTCAGTGTATTAAAATTTGCGTCCAATCGGAAGTGTTGCTTTATGTGGAACAAACCGAACGAAAGCGTTACATCAACTATTTATGTATTCCTTGTCTTGATCGGTTCGCCGCGTCTCCCGGTTGATGAAATTTCATGATTCTGCTTTAATTTGACTTAGTATTTCTTGCAGTATTGTTGTGTGACCTTGAAATTGAGTGCAATTTCAGTACGACGCGCGTGCGGTTTTATAAGGAAAAGTCCACATGTTCGACGGTGAATGCAATTCAGAAGTCATCCTGATCTTTTATAATTTTATTCGAGTGACTTTTCGTGGCACACCGATGACACCAGTATGAAGCGGAGCTTGCACTGATTCGGAAATTGCCGGAGATCGTGTCTCCAATTTTCACGCTTTTTGGTGTGTATTTTTATTGTTGTCTTTAAGTACGTTAATTATATGGTATGGTTTGTATGTTTCAGCAGAAACTTGACGGTTTCGTTCTCAAGAGAAGTTTTTCGAAAAATCTGTTTACGTAGAAATGCGTAGCTCAGAGCAAGACAGACCAAGAAGGCATAGTTCCTTGCCTCTGACTTTGGGTTGTTTCATGTCTGCTCGCGTGAAGAAGGTTCTAGATGGCGAGGGACAAATTCAGTCGAAGGTTGCCAATAATTCGAAAGTCCGCCGTATCAATCCGACGTCAGTTCGAGCATCGGCATCAAACGAGTGCTGGTATTCTGCTGCGGAAAATGAGACTCAAGTTCCAACGTCGAACCTCGTTTCGAAACAAGAGTCATCATTATCATTCACGGAAGATATTACGATCTGTTTGGCAGGTAGGCCTCAGGACCTTGTTGTGAAAGAAGCGAAATGCATAGTACGTGACGTGAAACAATACAATCGCAATGATATGACGGACGTTTTGCTGAAGATTTCTGAGCTTCAACCTGTGGACTGCAGTCACATTTGTGAGACCCGTGCTGACGCTGCCATGCTTTGTCTGTACGTCATTGCTGAATTTGATGAGGAACTTCTTCGCCTATTAAAAAATGATGTTCTTCACGCATTGAAAGAAAATTCAACGATTTGCCGCTTTTGCCCTCCGTTAGAAAAAAGACTCGAATCCGTTTCGAGCGCCATTACAGAAGAGCGAAAGCTGGAAACGATGAAGCTTGATTTCTCGGCAAGTGGTGTATCGTACGATCCGAAAAGAGATAGCAAAACTGGATTCGTAAATCCACAATCGTTCAGCGCATACAGAAAACAACGAGATGCTTTTTATCGTTTGCATAGTTGCTGGGAAGAGAGCAAGAAGACCGGTGACGACGGCGAATTGAGTGGATTTCAATGCGCAGTCGAGGATCTGATGAATATATCTTCAGATCTTGAAATATCTCTCCATTTTGCTGATCTGTTCATTCAGCAATTCTTGGTCGACCTCCGACAGAACGGAGTGGCTGGTGATATTCCTGTCAGAAGTTCGGATTCTCAAAAAATGCGTCTTCTGCAAGAACGGATGACCGCCCCGAAAGAGCATTCAGGCGCACAATTATTGGATTATTCCGTCGATTTCTTTGTGGCATTTTTGAAAGCCACCCGCAATGCTCTTTTTCGCGACGCCTTGATTATGACCATTGTCGGACACTCCAGTGATCTTATGTTCAGCCGTGGACAGAAGTTACCCGATGTTTCTGGTAGGATACATTTTGATCCGTCCGGAATTTAATCAAAATCTTGATGTACAACTCGTACTCATGTTTTTTATATAGACTATTGTGGGAGCTCGCACATTGTTGCAGATGAACTTCTCAAGTGCCTGGAGGCCCTCGGAAAACTCTTGGGTCTGGTTTATTTTGTCCCGAGAAAGTTGAAGTATCCAGTGAACAAGGCGGATATTATCGATGAATATGTTCGTTCGAAAACCTGGGTGAGTTAATTTTAGGAATGCTGCTATCAGTTTTAAGCGAGAAAAATAAGCTTTCATATAGATGTAGGGTTTACATTCACATGATATTCTTCTTTCAGCGCGAACTGCGTTTTCGAGAGCTGTGAGGTATTTGCCTTCTTTTGAAAGAAAGTAGTATTGTTAACAATCTTGACGCACGAAATTGTATTTCCTTCTTCAATATGAATCATTTCTATTTATTTTGCAGGTTCAAGCACCGGTCGACTTCAAAGGGATTTTATTGAAGGGCATTCAAACTGGAAACTGTTTACCCGTCGTGATTTGGATGACAAATTGCCTGCTGTTCGCTGACCCTCTGTCCGTCCGAGGTCGATCCTTCCAAGATGTTCTAAATATTTTTGATCATTTGTACAAAACATCCACCGCTGATACAGTGGTCTGTCGGCAATGTTGCGTTCATCGTATTCCTAGTGATGTTCTAAACATGTCAAGTAGTGGCGCTTTCTGTATGCAGCTGCATATCAGTTTGCTCATGTCCACATTCTCCTCCAAGTTGCCATCGAATCAGGAAATTGAACATCCGTCCGATGCAGAAAATAATTTCGTCCTGAAGTGCAAGAATTGTGTTCAGACGTTTGCCAAAATTCACTGTACATCTAAAGGATTGCTATCGTTCTTCGGCCCGTGGAAGAAGATTAACGAGAATCTTCGCAAGTTGGCGGTGACCGTTGTTGACAAGGCACCGATTGTTCATGAGCGTATTGAGATGAGAAGAAAGATAAAACCAGTAACGCAGGCTAAACCTGCATCATTGGCCAGTTGGTCTCCTGTGGACGTCCTGCAAGAAAAATTGGAACAAAATTTTGAAAGGAATATATCACCCTTCATAAAACGGGTGATGGAATCGGTGGTTGAAATTTTGTCTGCGAAAACCTCGAAGGAGTTGAAGGCACCAACGTTTCTAATCTCAAACTCGCGTGATTCGACGAGACGGAATGATTCTGTCGTGGAAGAGGAAAATGAGAAGTTTGCCTGGCAGATTTGTGTTGGAAAGATCGAGGACCTTGCAAAAAGATCGGTCGCGCCTCTCCTTCCAGAAAATACTTCCCCCGATCTGTCGAGTATCATCGTAAGCATTGTTTCAAGGAGGGTTTGCGAAAATGTTTGGACGACGTTCAGGCATTCCAACGTACGAGTACGCTCCAACTTGAATCATACTCCTACTAAAACCTTCCCGGAAATGCCCTCCAGAGATTGTCTGGAGGTCGACGCTGTTCGCATTTTTGAATCGGCTGTGGATAGTGACGTGACCGTAACCCCGCACCTCTCGCGAGAAAATTCTATGATATCTCGTCAAAATAGTGCCAAGTTTCAACCATGTGACGATGCTGATTACGAACGGTTCTCATGTCAGTTGATGCGACCTGAACTTCATCAAAAACTTATAAACGAAGTTTATGATAAAGAAGAATGCGTTAGTGACTGCATCATCTTCATGCGAAATTCAATCTGTGCCATGTTGCGTGGACAAGACGTCAATACGGAGCGCCTTTGGAGCATCGTTTCGGAATTGGAGGGGCGAACCTCTGATATCATGCAAACAATGCTGCCAAAATTTACTCCGCTTTGGCTCGACTTCGTCGTGCTTTCTTTGTTGAAGTTTCACGCCTGCTCTGAAACTGAAATAGCGAAGATTGTCAATGTGACGAAAGCGGTTGTGCAACTTTCGAAAAGCCCACTTCGTCCGTTTTGGTGCCGTCATTTAATCTTGCTGTCGAGTGCCTCTGACGTAGGTTGGGCCAATTGGGAATCCTTTTTCACCAAAATTATCATCTCGGAATTGGTCGATTTTGGTGATTTTAATTCAAGTTCGCTGTCAATTTTCAGTCACTCGTGGCCACCGGAACTTCTGTCACGGTTGAGTTTGATATTTTGTCGCATCCGTGAGTACCCCGTAGTAAGTGAACACTTCAATCAAGATATTATTGAGTGGATTTCCTGGTTTTGTTCAGAAGATGCCGATTTTTAAAGGAAGGATGTTATATAAAATTTTTTGTTTTTCTAGATTTGTTCAAGGTCGTTCTTCCGATAGAAACGAAGTTCGAACGATCACTGTTGAAAATGGAAGGCTGTTGAAGGATTTAAACAATTTCCCCGCATGTTCCTTCAAACTCCTTGTTGAGAATGATTCTATGGATGCAATTTACTGTTCGTGCAGAAATCACGTAAAGTTATCGGAATGGCGGATAATGCTTCGGTCGATCCCGGGATCAAGCAGTTTTTGTATGCGTGGTGTTCAAAGCGAAATAAAACGCCCGTGTATTCTGTTCGTTCGGGCGGTGGACCACAGCATCGACAGCGTTTTATCTGTGAACTTCGTGTTGATGGATTTGGTTACATTGCTTGTGGCAATTCCACCACGAAAAAATCGGCGGAGAGCAACGCTGCCAATGATTTTGTCGAGTATCTGGTGCGGCAAAACGAGATTGACACTTCAACTATTCCTGTGAGTGGAATGCGTTTGATTGCGTTTTCTTCAACTGATCTTCGACGCGTATATCCGAAAAATTGTAATTAGGCAGACTATAATCGTTGAAAGCCATTTAAAGCTCAATTTGTCTGGATGCTTTATTGCAGACTTTTTGTGCCCCGGGAAGGATGGATGCGAACTCGACTCCTAGACCTCAACAAAGCGCTGTGATACCCGTGGAGGACGCGTACAAACCATTTCGACATGAACCCCGGCCTGGATTTGAAACGTTGGATGCGATGGATGTGGCAGAAGTTAGTTTATGTCGTTAATAAGCGTGGATTTTTACGAGTGGAGAATTCAATCGTTCTTTTTTTACCGTCAGGCTGAAAATGCGGACGTCAATGCTGAGTGCCACGGATTCTGGACTGTGAACAACGCAAAAGCCAAATTGAATGAATTCTTGGCAAAGCGGCGAATTCAAGCTGATTACCACTACGAGATTGTTGGGCTAAGCAGGTTTTTAGCGATGTTTTAATATTGACGAAAGCGAGGAGCTGGCACATGTTTCTGAGGTCCGAGTTTTAAAGATGCTCGATATGAAACTTCGATGATAGCAAGATTTCCCAAACGCTTGCTCTCATCGAAATGCGAAAAGTGGTCTTAGAAACATGCTTGAGCCAGTTCCTCGCGTTCAAATTCTTACAAAACAAAATTTGGTTTTTGCTGCGAAGGACCTTCGTGGCGTCCATGAGTTTCTACGTTCGGGAGCTCGGGCGAGGTTTGTGTGACATATTTCCATTATCTTTGCTTTATTTCGTATAATTCTTTTGGATTTGTGCTTCAGTTCTAGAATTTGGATTGTACATCATTGATTCCCAGTTTATCCTTCTGTGGATCAGTGTTATAAGAAATAAAGTGCAATCGGCACTACTTCAGTCTACTTTTGAATCGGAATATCAAAGAAGAATTCCCTGACATGTTTCAGCTGTTTTCCTTAAAACTAAAAAAAACCTAATCTAATTCTCTAAATTTCTGCATTTCTTAGAAGCGGATCTGTATAGCTTTTTCTCGGTGACGAATTGATGACAATACTGTATTAGCTTTCTGGTATGAAGTACTTATTTTTCATTTTTGAAGATATCAAAGGAAGGGAGTCGGGGTCAACCAAAGCTTCAGCTTCACGTAGTTGTGCTCTCTCCATCGTGAGGCAGTTGTTTCATCTCAACTTGATTCCTGCGAATGCTGGTGCGGCAGCATTGTCGAAGAAAGATCGAAATAAGGTCATCAAACCATTTGAAGTCAGCGTAAAGCCCGAGATGATACAGGAAATAAAAAATACTCTGGATCTCTTCAGCATTCGTCCCATGGCAGGTGTAAGTGCTCCACTGGATAATATCATGATTATCTAATGATACTGATAGATACATTTTCCCATCGTTTTTCTTCGAGTTTCCGTTTTTGTGAGAAGCTAATCTCGCCATGTAGTCTTTGTTGATTGACCCTTTTGAGATGGAATGACCCATCAGAGAAGTACGGCTGCATCTTTCTGGGGATTCATTGATTTTCTCGTTTGGAACAATGTCTCACGACGGTAAATGGGATTATTCTCAGTTTTCACGATAGCAGAAATGTGTCGCAAACATCCTTCGGAAGGTTCCAAAGTTTAGTCATATTTAACGGTACTTCCGAATATTCTTCAAGGTACCCGACTTATTTAGCTGGAATCCTGTAAGTCTAAGGAGTCTCTAAACCCCTGTGGCATGAATAAAAAGACCCAAGACAAGCCTATGTTATTCTTCATAAGAGCCTATACGTTTTTAAGACAATTGAAAGGTTCGACAAAGGTTTAAGACAATTGAAATTGAAAGATTCGATCAGGCAAAAATCATGCGCGGGATGGGTCACAAGTAAAAATTCTGGTGGATGTTGTTTGGTGATTTTTCTCTCCCCTTTTTTCACTCAAAATAAGGACTTGGGAACTTCTCTTGTGCCAGGAGTGAGTTTTGTGAAAGTCGTTTCTTGAAATTTTTGTTATTATAGAGTTCGAAAAAACGATGATATTTAAGGAAAAATAAAATAATGTATAAATTGAAATATTGATCTTATTTATCTATGCTTCTTCATTGAGGGAAGTAAGGAAATGACAACGCTTATTAACTTCGCCTCGTGCGTAGAACATTCCGGTATGGATATGGTTCTGTTCGGCCCCCATGATGCGTAGAATGAACATAATTGTTGAGATCAGCATTGTAAAGATGCATTTTTCCCTCTGCTTCGCTTTGAGCTGTCGCTCTCCCGTCTTCTAAAAGGTTATTGATCCCGCGTTGAAGTTGACGTCTCTCCTGCCATCAAGAACTGTGGTAGACACGAAACCCACTTGCGAATCAACCGACATGACATCGATTATGTGGGCACCGCCCATCCGTAACTGGGACCCGTGGAGGGCGTGTAACATTGACGAGGGCTATTTCGCATCGGCAAGTTTGGAAACACTTTCGCAAGATTTTGAGAAAAGTTTCCAGGAAATGCAGAAGACTGATCAGCATTATCAGCGTATGCGTCACTCGAGGGAAGCTTTGCCTGTGTTCGCCGCCCGCGTCGAAATTCTCGATACTATAAAAGAAAATCGCATAGTCATAATTAAAGGAAGCACCGGATGTGGAAAAACCACACAGGTGAGTAATTGTGCCCAAGTTGGTTTATTGAAAGAAACTTTGCCATGAGTTATTCAGTGTCAAAATGTCTTCGTCAGGTACCGCAATTCATCCTTGATGAGCATTTGCTGTGTGGCAGTGGAGCCTTCTGCAATATCGTGGTCACTCAACCACGCAAGATATGTGCAGTTTCTGTCGCTGACCGAGTTGCGAATGAGCGCAGTGAAGAACTTGGTCAATCTTGTGGATATTCCGTTCGATTTGAGTCGATGTTGCCGAGGCCTTATGCATCCGTGCTGTATTGTACTGTCGGTGGGTAACATCAGGATTCCAAATTATTTTCTTTGAAAATGTCTGAAAAGTTTACGATTTGTTACATCACGTGTCTGTAAATTTTGGTATAGCAATTTTTAATTCATTTTAAATTTTGGAAATCACGTTTTTTCGAGCAAAAATTTACAATATCGTGCAAGTTCAAAAATTGATCTCAGCAATTACTAAATCTCACGTCGCAACACCTTCTTAGAACCTGGGGATTTACAAATCCATTCTCAAAAATGCCGCATGACTCACGTAAAACGTGAATGTCGTGAAAATCTATAAATTTGAAAGACTCTGGCGCGACAAAAAAGAGAACGAATCTTGAAAAACACAAGTCTCCTGTGTTTCGAAGAGGAAAGGGAACCTTTTCGCGGCTAGAATTCTTGACTCGTTTTTGAAAGATGTATGAAATTGAAGGCATTATGTGGACAGCGATGATAGTCCGTTGGACTAAGAATGCCGAGGATAAAAGTGTTATTCGCGGTGAAATAATTAATGTCTCTCTATTTTACATTCGGACTAATGACTCACGTAACGATTTAATGACGCAATAAGTGAGGAGGCCAAATAATTGTAATGTATTTTCCTTCTGCTTATGCCGAACACTTTTTGTAAAGATGGCAGAATTTGTTTTCCCTCTTTCTTGCTATCACGCTTTCCTTTGACGCAAAATTGTCGACTATTTCCTTCCCAGATTCGACATTTTCTGTGCATCCGGTACCGGATCACCTTGTATTGTGATAAACAACTCCTTAATTTTTCAAGAATATATCAAGTGGGATAAAAATATTAATCTATGAATTTTCTTCTTGTCACAGGTGTGCTTCTACGCAAGATGGAAAGCGGAATGCGAGGAATCTCGCATATTATTGTCGATGAAGTTCACGAAAGAGATGTCAACACAGATTTTCTGCTCATCCTTCTCCGTGACATGCTGAACACCTATCCCGATCTTCGAGTGGTGCTCATGAGTGCGACAGTAGACACCTCTATTTTTCGCACTTACTTCGGGGAATGTCCCCTGATCGAGGTTCCCGGGAAAATCCATCCGGTTGAGGTTTTTTATCTCGAAGACATTGTGGAAACTTTGGATTACTACCCCAGCGAGATGTTCATTCGGAAACGATTGGATCGTGGCAAGAAACGCAAACTGAAGCCAGTCGTTGAAGGAGGAGAACCTGAAGAAGGCGATGACGATGGCGAGGAAGACACAGAAGACTGTAATCGTATCGTTAGCGAAGATTACGGAGTGAAAGTTAAGGAGGCGATCGCGGCTATGTCTGAGCGGGAGAATCTGAATAATGAAATTATGGGGAAGCTGCTCAAGTATATTGACACCATGGGAGAAGGAGCCGTACTCATCTTCTTGCCTGGATGGAGCGCAATTTTTGAAGCTTGGAAATATTTCAGCAATCATCCGGATTTTGGACCATCTCAATATCTCTTTCTTCCATTGCACTCAAATCTACCACGTCAAGACCAGCGGAGAGTTTTTGATGACCCCGGACAAGGAATCAGAAAAGTATGGATTTCCTGGCAGATATACGCGTAGAAATATACATTTTATTCGTGATTATATCGTTGACTAAAGCTTCCCTTTAAACCCGTTCTAGTTGAAAGCTTTCAAAGCAGTTCGAGAGTCAAATTATGCAAATGTTTTCTTGCGTTTAAAAATTCTTTTCGATGATCTAACGCTCATGCTAAAATTTGCAGGTTATTCTCTCGACGAATATTGCGGAATCTTCAGTCACCATCGATGACGTGGTCTACGTGATTGACTCTGGTTTAGCGAAGATGAAACTTTTTACTTCTCATAACAACATGACAAATTACGTTACTATTTGGACTGCAAAGGCAAACTTGGATCAAAGGAAAGGCCGTGCTGGTCGTGTTCGTTCAGGATTTTGCTTCAGATTTATGACGAAGGTAAGATTACCGATCCACCTGTTACTGTATTTTAACAGTATTTTTTACGTTTCCGTATTTGTGTTATTCTATCCCGTGAAGGCGAGGCATGAAAAACTGGAAGAGCACATCACGCCGGAAATATTACGTTCACCTCTTCACGCAATTGCTCTCTCCGTAAAGTTACTTCGTGTAGGAGATGTGCAAAAGTTTTTGGCCAAGGCTGTTGAACCGCCACCGTTGGATGCTGTTATCGAAGCCGTTTTAGTGTTGAAAGGTGAGAGAGAATTGTTAATTATTTTCTGGTTCTTCATTACAGTATAAAAGCTTTATTTCAGACCTCAGGGCGCTGTATTCTTCTGAAGAATTGACACCGTTGGGTAGAATTATCGCAAGGCTACCCGTTGATCCGAGGGTCGGAAAGATGTTGGTTATGGCGTGCGTGTTGGGACTTGGCGATGCCGGATGTTGCCTAGCTGCGCAAAGCGCTTCTCATCATGAAGTTTTCCTCATCGGTGAGAAGCTCACTGTTTCTCAAAAACGTTCGAATATCGCATGAAAGCCGTCGTTTGGTCAGATGAAGCATCCTAATTCATTTTCAGCGACTTGCAGTATTTTTGATTTTTCAGATTTTACAATATTCTGCCCGATCGAGTAACGCATTTACATCAGGTGTAAGCATTGAAATAATTTTCTGCTGGAAAGAGCGTGGTTTAAATTAAAAGTCTGTAATCACTTCCGAAATGGTCTGTATTTAGCGAACAAATCTGAAAAATGGGAGGAGATAAATGAACCCATCTGAAATTTTTGCGAGGTTCGCTTTGAAAAATATTCGGGTTGACATTTTTTTGAGGGATTTTCCAAAAAAAAAAAAAAAACGGAAATCACTGACGAGAAAGGGCTCGCTATGGTATCAGCCGTTGAAGACAACGAAGAACTTAGGGGCAGTTGTAGCGGAGTTTTGTGGGAAATTTCACGCCAAATTCGAAGTCCTCGAAGTAAAAAATCCTCAAATTAAAAAAATGAACAAAAAATTGTATTTGGGGTCGTTTTTCGAAAGGTCTTTGACGGTCTCCTTCGTTTCAATTCAGAGGTTCCTTCGACGATCATTGCATTCATCGCTTGTTAATATTTTCGTGATGAGATGCAATTTTTGTTATTAAATCATCGAAAAATTTCTGAAACTTGTTTGGTCGTCTTCATCCGCCTTTGAAAAACATTTTTGGAATTCGCAGTACTGTACTTTCAAAATATGCCTGTATTCAGAACGTATAATCACATTCTGAATCTTTGAAAATCGTATCCCTCAATATTGTCTCCTTTCGTATTGTATCCTCACTGCTTTCTTCCTGGTCCTGCAGAGATGGGAAGACGATTGACATTCCGTCAAAAAAATATGGCGGGAAGTCGCTGTAGCGACCAGTTAGCGCTTTTGAATGCGTTTATGCGATGGGAAAGCCAAATGTTGAAAGGTGAAGACGCCGAAATCCGTTTCTGCGACTCCCAGAGTTTGTCAATGCCCATGTTGAGGGTCATCTGGGAAGCTAAAGTGAGTATTGTATAGGAATAAAAATATTAAAAAGTATTTATCTTTCCATATTAACTAGAATATGAGGCATACAAATTGGATCGAAAAGATCGAGGTACTTTATTCATCATTCGATGGCGTCTTAAATTCGCAAATATTGTGTATAACTCCTTCTGACCAACGCAATCGTTTGAATGGAAGTACTGTACAGTAATCTTACTTCTGAAGTGAATTGAAAAATTCCTCTCTACCATCGTCAGTGCGATCGCATGGGAATTGAAATCATGATTTCTTTTGTAAGTTTTTGAGGAGATTCAACTGGTAACTGAAGCATGCTTAAAATAAAAAGGCGTCTATGATTTCGAAGGAATTGAATTTGATGAAAAAGCATTTTATTGTCGACCAATTTTTTTGCGTTCTATGCAGAGTAATTTTTTTTCTGTTCTATTTACAGAAACAAATAAGGGACTTGCTCATAAGCGCCGGATTTCCTGAAAGCGTGTTCGCCCCAGTAGAATTTGATTTCTTTGGTTCTGACCACAATCTAGATCTTTTAGCTGGTCTTCTTGCAGTTGGATTCTATCCGAACATCTGCTGGTACCGAGAAAAGCGTATGGTGATTACATCTGACATGACTCGGGCTTTAATCAACAAGACGAGCGTTAACTGCCCGTACACGAACCAAGATAGCGGAACGTTGTTTCCATTTCCCTACTTCGTGTTTGAGGAAAAAGTTCGCACTCGAGCTGTGTCGTGCAAGCAGCTGTCTATGGTCACCCCATTACAGCTCCTGATTTTTGGTTGTCGGAAAGTGGAATACTTCATTCCAGTGGAACCCATTGGAGAAGCGAAGGATCCCGAATCAGTTCTGGCTTTCGAATACGGACCTGTTGTGAAGCTGGACGGTTGGATTTCTCTGAAGATGTCGCCGGAAGAAGCAAGTCATGTTGCCGGTCTTAGGCCTGCCCTTGAAACGATTTTAGAGAATGTGGCCGCCAGTCCTCATTTGCTAATGGAAGGCGAAGTAGACTTCCAAGAGAAGCTGGGCGCAGTTCGGGAAGTTTTACTCAATGTTTGCTCTCTAGAAGCAGGTCGGAACGATCTACAACGATTTCAGCCTAGTCCCTCCAGGCCGTGAGTCGCACCAGACGTTCATTTCTTTTCATTCAATCATTTTCTGAAGAAAAACATAATTTGTGATGCTGAAAAAGGATCTAACCAATTTCATTTTATAATCTGTTGAGCAAGATTAATATCAACCTCATAGGTAATAGTGTTGTGAAGTTTCCGTGGTTGAGCTGCCATTTCAGAGAACTTTCATATAAAATATACTCGAGATGACTTTTTCCCTACGTTTCAGAATAATATTGATTAGAACGAAAATTTTGCCTGAAAGAAGGAATCCATTAGAAGGGAAATTTTTGGGTAGTATGGACATTTCTGCGTTTAGGTCTGCAATTCGGGAAAGAACATAGAGTAGGAAATACTAATTTTCCCGAAAACGATTGATAGGGGGTCTCTGTTTTTCAAGCAATTGAGTTCTTCAATTTTCAGATTTTCCAGTCCCGGCCCCAAGCGGTTCTTCTCAGAACGTGGTGGGCATGGAATGCCATTCACGGGAATGAACCGAGGATTTTCTCACGGAGACTTCGGAGGTCGAGGTTTGTGAAATATTCCTTATAACAGTACAGTAATACTTGATGATAAACTTGGCTTGTTACCACTTCATTTGTTCCTCTTGTTTCACTTTCATTAGGCGGTCGAGGTGGAGGAAGAGGATTCGGCTTTGGGGGTTACAGAGGTGGTTTTTCACCTCAAAATAATTGGCGTAATCCAAGCTCACCACAGAATCGTTGGAATCAGCCACATTACGGTGGTGGTCAGCGCTTCAACGGGCCTCCTCGTGGGGGTTTCAATCCAAGGTTTGGAGGAAACCGGGGGAGAGACTACTGATGATTCATGTTAGTGAAGATTAATTATTATTTTTCTATAAATTCTAGTGCTTCCTTTTGGTCTTTTCCAGATGTACGGTTACATGGAATAACCTGCTGCGTGAAATACCCGTGAGAACATCAGCGAAGTGTTTTTATATGAGGCTTTTCAGAGGAATTGCGTCAATTACAGAAGATTCTCTGCGTTTCGGATATTTACAATTTTATTTTCCCTTTTTGCTGCAGCTTCAAAACTTTTTGTTCTGTCATGTTTCGTGTTACTGTGGGAAGTAATGTTGCTTAAATTATCGAAGTTATATTGAAATTCTATGAATTGAATATCGCATGGTTTCAGTAGCAAATGATAATGTAGTTCGTTTAAAGACTTGGTAATAATTTAGCTTTTGTTTGGTTCCCATCAACAGGGATCATGTGCATCTGATTTCGTGATGCATATTCGACTGCGAATTTGGTCGTGATGGTTTGATGAAAAGAGCGGCGCGAGAGAAAAATCTCAGTGCGTTCGACATTCCGCGTGAACGTCTTCTCAAGTCGAAAGTATAAAAAATGGAGGATGCGGGCGAGACGAAGATCATTTACCACATAGATGAGGAAGAAACTCCATATCTTGTCAAAGTTCCGGTGCCGCCTGATCGTGTTACACTTGGTGATTTTAAGAATCTGCTCAACCGTCCGAACTACAAATTCTTCTTCAAGTCGATGGACGATATTTTTGGGTGCGTTCTCAATTTGTCTGAAGCTGAGTAATATAGATCGAGTTTAAAATTTATATGAAGAACATATTTTCTCACAGTAGGGCTAATTTGTTGGCTTCCGGAGAAAGCGGAACTATTCTGGAGCAACTTTTAGGCTCGCCTCTGAGCTGATCGCATTATTGTATACGGATTTATGAACCCCCATGAATTATATCGATTGTCTTGAATCCTACAATCAAGTAATGCGTCTTTTACATAAATTTATAGGGTCGTCAAGGAAGAGATTGTTGACGAAGATGCACCACTTCCCTGTTTCAATGGAAGAGTTGTTTCATGGGTAAGTCGTATTTGGCGAACTATTCGATCTATCCGATTTTCATTTCGTTGGGGATATTTGCAGCTAGTTTCCGTGGAGAACAGTACAGTTTCAGATACAACGTCCCAATGTACTGATAGCGCTCCTGTGATACATCCCGGATTGGAAAGAACCGCTGGGATTGGAGATAGTCGACCACCTTCGTTTCAGTGAGTGAATCCGGCATTGCTTCGATAAAAGACGATTCAAGCCTCCGGAAATCATTTGGCATTGCAACATTTTGTTCCCATTCCAGCGGAATTGGATTACAGAGCAGAGGAATGAGTAATGCTGGTGACACAACGTGCACGGAAACGGAATCCGTTCTCAGTTCACGACATGGAGGTTTGTCTTGAATAATGAGTAATCTTCTGTTTTTCTTTAACAAGTTTTACGCCTGCAGGACATCATCTGCCGAGACATCGACGCCGATATATAGAGGGTGAGGAAAATCACACTTCTTCTATATTGTAAATTTAAAATAGTAGATGCAATTTGTGTTGCGTGTAATTTTGAAAGTTTGAATTACTTCACATTATTCTGAGGGATAAAAATATAATCATTTCTCCCGCCAATACAAATTGCTATTTCGGCAGCATTTTTTAAAATGATGCACTGCAGTACTTCTGCGCGGATTCTGTGCTGATGTTTCCCAGTAAGTAATGCCGTAATCGGTGTAAAACATGGACGTCACTCTGTGTATCTTGAATTGGGCTATCTCTGATTACTAATTTTACTCGTATCCTGAGTTACAATTGAACACGCGAAGGGAATAATGTCTCAGCAGGGATAATTATCTCCTTGTTTCTGTGCTGACAGGTATCCACCGCATCAACGGGAAAGCTCATCGACATGTTGGAATTGGACCAGGACCAGGGATCGAATCTGCTTCCATGATTAGTTCTGATTTGGAGACAACAAGTTTCGTGGATTCAGACGAAGACGACGCTTCTTCACGTTTCACGACTACTACAGGTTTGAGCTTGAAATATTTAAAAAGTCCTTTTGTTTTTAGCAGTGCTGAATTGTTCTTCTGATCAGGCTGGTGTCACATGAATGCCCAACCTGATAACTCGGTTCAACATAAAGTAATTTAAGCGAGTTAAAATCAATCTATTATACTTTGAACATTCCAATAGAATAAAAATGTTTAGGTACCACGAATACCATCATGAATGCTTATTCTCGGCATTCCTGAGTGCCGACTGGCTTAATGTTGACCTATTCGGTTCAAATGAAACTACTGTAATCGAAAGACGCCGATGACTTCAAAATATCCTCACTTCTGCATGCGTTTCGTAGAGCAAACCAGTGTATCGCGGATGAATAATCGTCACCAAAGACGACAGCGCCGGCGTCGTCACAGAATGCCCGCACCGATGTCACGCACATCCTCGCTTTCATCCATTACGGATTCTACTTTGTCGCTCAACATCATTACTGTCACGCTCAACATGGACACTGTCAACTTCCTCGGCATTTCCATTGTTGGTCAGAGTAACAAGGGAGGGGACGGTGGCATTTACGTCGGTTCTATCATGAAAGGGTGTGTTTGTTATGCCGGATGTTCCCTACTATGATTTACATGAGAGAACTGACGTGCTGATCGTGTTCTTGACAGAGGTGCGGTAGCATTGGATGGAAGAATCGAGCCCGGTGACATGATACTGCAAGTGAACGAGGTGAATTTTGAAAATATGTCCAATGATGACGCTGTTCGTGTGTTGAGAGAAGCTGTACAGAAACCAGGGTAACTACACTATATTTAAGGCTTCGAATGAGTGGAGTTCGTCATGCTCCCTCTTTGTTCGTAGGCCAATAAAGCTGGTGGTCGCAAAATGCTGGGACCCTAACCCTAAAGGCTATTTCACTATCCCGCGAACAGAGCCTGTGCGTCCCATTGATCCTGGGGCATGGCTTGCACACACTGATGCTTGTCGTCTTGAAGGTAGGCATAACGAAACTTTTCTTTGAAAGGAAGACTTTTTTAAATATAAATCCAAGCTTTACAGAATCCTCTCTTGAAATTTTGTGATCACAACTATTCGGGTAATTCCTGCTTTTTGAATAGCCACGTGACCACGTTTATTCTTTATCTATCCAGGTGAATACCCAGTGCGTCCTCCGTCAGTTGCTACACTAACTTCTGCGTCTACATCGATAAATTCATCATTGCACGAAAGTGAACGTAAGTTATATTCTCTGCTGATTTTCTCGGGTTAGTTTTAGATAACATGTCGAAATATTTGCTGTGGAGTGAAAATTGTGGCTTCTGAATGCCCTCGAAGTCTTTGCTGAGTCCCAGGCTGAAGTTCATTAAGATGAATAATTTCGAGAAATTCCAAAATAAATCGTGTTTGAAGAAGTTCAAGTGAAGAAGGTCAGCATCTTTTGTTCCATAGAAATGTCACCTTAACCCAAATCAACGCTAATATGCTTCTTCACGAATGAATACAGGAGGAATGCGAAAACAAGTATGAATTTGAAATTGCTACTGATCTTTGTGGACCTATTGGTGATCTTCGTGGACAGCCTGGTGAACGCGAAATGATGAAATATTTAAAATTGATCATAAATCTCTCACAGCTTTATTTCTATTTAATTTAGCTGACGTGTCAATTGAAGTCATGGTAAAATTTCCCTTTTTGATGATTTTTGTGGATGAAACGACGTAGAAAAGGTGGAGTTCTGCGTGCTACTTTGAATACCCGAATAAAAGCTTGATACAATTTTGTGAAATACTGTGACGAAAAAACTCCTTACAAGAGACAATAATTTGTGATGTCTTTGTAAACGATGTCTTCTTGAAGAATTCATCTCGATCGATTCATTCGATAGGGCAATATGAAGAAACCGACAAGCTGACAGTGTTGACGGACATGCGAACCATTGTGAAGGCGATGGCCATGCCCGACTCCGGTCTAGAGATCCGCGACAGGATGTGGCTTAAGATCACGATTGCTAATGCCTTCATAGGAGCAGAAGTAGTGGACTGGCTTTTCACTCACGTAGAAGGGTTCGGTGACCGGCGTGAAGCGCGGAAGTATGCGTCGCAAATGCTGAAAGCTGGTTACATTAGACACACAGTGAACAAGATCACGTTTAGCGAACAATGCTATTACGTTTTCGGGGATAATTGTGCGTGTAAGTAACGATTGACGGATTCTTTGCACTTTTACAGTAAAATTAAGTTATAATGAAGCCATGCGGACAGTGAAATAGCTTCGTTATGAACAAAAATTCTTCGTAAAGTAACTCATTTAACGTAGTGGCTATTGGGTAGGGACCTAAAAAAACGATTCAATTGTGATCGATTATTTACTACATAAGGAGATTCGTTGTAACGAGATTCTATATTACAAACTGCCTTCATCCGGCTCTGTATTTACAAGGACGATCATTTTCGATGATGTAACTCATGCGTTACCGACATAGTTTACAACTTTAAATGGCGTTGAGTAGGGTATTACCGTATTATTTTTTCGTATTACAGTATCGCAAAGACGGCAGAAAGCATCGTACATTATATGGATTTACTTAACATACATTTTGCTAGTGCGTGGATCCTGCGTGGGCAGGGAAAAAGCGCGAAAACGTTCGCAGTGCAATTGGCAGTAACATCCCACCGTATTTAATTATTATCTTTCATCTCATCTTACAGTATCAGTAAAAAGCGGCTTGAGAATTATTACTCATTGAAATTCCTGATAATTTTATTTTATGAATTCGGTCAGCTTGGTTGCACTGACGTGTGGGTCGTGAAATAAGTTTTATTGTCAAATTTAGTTGAAAAAATTGTTCAAATCTGTTCTAGGCTTCAATCACTTGCGAGGGAATGGAGATCCGCAGGTGCAAAATCAGCATCCCCAGCAGCAGCCGATCCATCAGCAGGGCGTGTTGAGTCCGCCGGGTATGATTCTGGGTACTGATCGGGATATGGTCTTGCCTTTGCCGATGCCAACCCCTCAACCGTGGTCAGTTCCAACGTACGTAACTGGTTCGTTTGTTGGGCTGGCAGCGGTGGGCGGTGGTAGTCCCGCGTTGTCCAGGGCCAGCGGCGGCATGTGCGTTGGTGGTCAGCAGTTGGCCGTGGCGTCCAATTACCAGCCTGTTGCCTATGGCTTCGAGCCAGAGCCACCTAGCTATGCGGTTGCTGTGAGCAGAATTACAGCTAGTGTGCAAAGTCACGGATCTGGTGAGCGCGATTCTTCCTGATTCTATCCTTCCGTTATGAGGAAAAACGTCTACGGTATTTTTAACTATTGAATGAAGTTGAATCGTAAAAAATGGACCTTTTTCGAAATGGACCATTCAAAATGCTCTGAACTTCTATGAACATGGGGAGTTTCGAGTAAAAAGCAGCTGAGGAGACTTCAAGTGAACGATTTAATGAAAAAAGAAACCTTTTAGGTTATATGTGTACGATATGATGAACTGCGAAGCTCTGAATGATGAGGTTGAAGATTGATTTATGGAATGAGTTCCTGCCGTGAAGCCATGAAAGGTCCTGCGCATGTGTAACATGTCCCAGTTGTACACTAAGTAGATGGCATGAGAGTAATTAAACATGTCGAAGAGTTTTCGATTCACAAGAAGGCTAAAAATCGTCTGCATAGACCACACCAAAAACGCTGGAAAACGTCGCTCAATCTCTGAATTCCGTGTTCTTTATCGCTCATGTCTCTTCGTGAAGAAAGCACGAATAAACCCGAGCCCTCGTAGGAATTTTGGTTAAATTCTGCTGTGGCAAGTTCTTGAGTGCACCAAAACCTTTCATCACAAGAATAGTTGGCAAGTTGAAACTGCTGAAATGTTCCGTGCTTCATGGAATACCTAAATGGAGTGATAAATATTTTCCGGAATTCATAAAAAAATAAAAATATTGAGAGAACATCTGGTGAAGCTGTCTGAAGTGCCCGTATTCATCTGCCATCTTGTAACTGTATGAAGACTGGTTCAGAATATCTTGGGTTACGTTAGTCGTGATATCATAGCTAAAACGAGTTAATCATGACGTCCAGTTAGGATGTTGTGTTGCCGTGTTGTATTGGCGAAGCGGAAGAAATGCAGGTACAGTATTTGATTGAGAGTACGTGTTGAACGAGAAACACATTTTAATGGTTGCCCCATTAAAATGCGGCAACCTTCGAAATCATTTCGAGTAAGTGTTTTTTACCCGCACGAAGAAGTTGATGCTCGGATCACATCTCATCTCAATTCTGCGGTATCCGTGAAAGGTGGAAGCAGCGGATCTGATCGACAACGCAAGGCAATGGGTGGAATGCTCGGGGGAATGGCGTCACTCACGCTGAACGATCGCAGACCGGGTGGCAATTCAGGCAGCGACACCGAGGCTCGACGGGACGTCGGTCGGGTGCTGAACCCACTTCACGGACAGCTTGTGACGAGCAGCGAATCCACGTCGGACCATTCGGTGTCGACTGTTGCGTCTTCCCGGGCTGCCGGAGCGGCGCAAACGCTAGCACCAACCGCACCGCCGCCTCCCGCCCTTTCAGGTGAAAATGCGATGCTCGTCCTTTCCTCATCTAAGGATTGCATATGCGTAATACTCTCTTCTTACCTCCTCTCCTTTACTATTCCGTATTTTTGTTGCTCAAGTTTTACATTGAGAAGGTTCCTCGTGGTATATGAGATCCTTGTCCTGAATCAAAGGCGTTTACTTTTCAAAAAACCATCGTGTTGATCAAGTATCGGCCGAAGTTCGCATATTCGAAGCCGTGGTATCCCAAATTTAGTCATAAACAGAAAATTCGTTGGGTTTCATCCGATATTGATGAAGACGGGAAAATTTTCGGTGGAGTGTGTCTATGGCGGAGTTACTGAAGTGAGGTACAGTGGAGTCCCGACATGGGGACGCCCGACTTGAGGGCGATTAGACTTGCGGAAATTTTAAGAGCCGAAATTTTGCCCAAACATCCGGACTTTGTCTCGAGATACGGACATTCCACGGACAAATTTTAATTTTTTAAAATTGTGATACCTCTTGAACAAGTAGAATTCTTCGATTCTGAAGAGAATTCAGAATGTATCCCGTCATAAATGTACCCCACTGCAAAGCACTTATTCCTAATCCAGAAGAGGCTTATTTTGTGCGTATCTTTTCGGTTTCCACAAACGGTGTAAAGCACAGGAATGTGTGAGCTTCTTGTTTGGTTATGGACTCCTTTTCATGCCAAAAGGGCAGATTATGTATGTCTTTCTGGTTCACCATTATTTTCTATATCTCGTTTGGAACACAATTTCATTATATTTATAGGGGAACTTTTGCAATTTTTTTTAACAAACGGAGAACCAATTGAATATGTTCCCATTGAAGTCTATGGCCCAACATGATTTGAAATGCGGACGTTCTGACATACGGGCCAAGTCCATGAACCAATTACGTCCGCATCTTGGTGCCCCACTGTATCTTGGTGTACTGCAACGCCGTTATCTCCTATGATTACAAAACCTAACGCCGCTTGAATCTTTAATCCTTAATTTCATGTCGCTTGGGCAAGGTTGAGTGAGCTACATTATATTTGAGTCGTCTTGAAATCGTAGAACCCGGAGGTTGATCGCATACATCTTTTTTACTAATTAGATTTTCGAGCGGAAATATCTTCAAAGAATTGTGAGTAACTTGACTAAAAGAATGAGAGTTCACGTTCTTCTCTTGAAATTTTGCATAAATTATTTTTCTCTCTATCAGCGGGGCAAAGTGACGTACTGCATTACATTTTATTGCTTCAAGTCCATCCGGAGCATTGTCCGGATGGACTCCACGGATAGTTTTGTGCAGCGGTATTCGTAAGATGATTCATAATTTTTTGTGGACTAAGGAAACTTCATCCATGTCCGGAACAGTTCCCTGACAATATTATCTTGATTAAAAATAATTTATTGGTGTTGAGATTAGTCCACCTGTAGATCCAATTGTTTGAAGGAAAGTAAGCAAAGTTTGTAAATTTGACTTCGGTAAGATGCGAGCTCGTCAATGTTGTATTTAAATCATCGTACCGATTTTTGCATTCCTGGTGAGGGCGATTGAATCTAACGTCGCTGTTGTGTACAAAGCATATGTTTGCGCCTGAGACTCGTTTTGCTTGTGGCTGGATCAGTCGTGAATGCATTCGGTCTTGCACTCCCTCTTTCACTTCTGTCTCGTGTTCCGTATGTATGTGTTGTGGTGGTTGTTTCCTGCATCAGTTCTGGGCCGGCTGGGTCGGAAGCTGGTGGAAGATAATTGACTCAGCGTGGGACCCGGATACCCGAGAAGGTGCTCGCATGCATTGCCGCGACAGCGTTCTTGTGCTCGAAATTTCGTGTAAGTGCTCTAGCTGAACTTTTCCTGTGTCATCTGTGAGTAACCCATTTTTGCAGATTCCATTCTACTTTGAAGCGTCCGGTTCAAACGTTGACGCCGTTTTATGGTACAGTATTCTCTGAATTGCAGGATTCGGTTGCCCAGTTTTTTTTTTTTTTTTTTTTTTCCTTCAAAGTAATGGCTGGAGGGATCTTTCTCTGTTTTTTGGTACTGTTGCCCGGTTTTTTTTTTTTTTTTTTTTTTTTTGCCTGCAAAGTAATGGCTGGAGGGATCTCTCTCTGTTTTTGGGTACACAGGATTCGGTGTGTGGGTCACTTCGACAGTCGAGAAACGGTTTATAATGTTGTTTTGGTCCCCGAAAATAATCCCTAGCCCATTTTTCGAGCACCTCTTTAAATTCCTTACTGTATGCGGTGGCCTAGAACATTTTCGACCTTTTTCTGAACAACATTTCAAAAACTATGGCGTGCAAACTTCAATGTAGGCTCGTATACAAGTTTAATTCAACTCTTCGTATTTTTATTTCAGATTTTTGTGTGTCTCATTATGACGGAGGTGTTCCTTAAAAAAAATCCCCTCTATAAAAGTAGCCAAATTAAGTAAAGTTTATTCAGACTGAAAATAATCTCCAGAAGTATGAATCCTGAAAATTTGACTTAGGGCTAAGATAAAACTTGACTTCGTGAGCTTTCAAATGGGTTAAGCATTTTATTTACGTTCTACACAAAACTGTACTGTACTGTATTTTAATTGAAGCTATTTGAATGCAATAACCGATCGTGATTTCCATCGGACTGTGTGCAGGGAAAAAGTTAAAACGGACTGCCATTGGTCAGATAGAAGCACCCTTGGAAATTATTTCGGAACTACTGTATTCAAATTTTATTGAGGATTGGCTAGTACTGTAGTTGCGTCAGTTTTTCAGTTTTAATCTTCTTATAAAAAATGTCGACCGAGATGATCGAGGATTTTTCATGAATTCCAAATAGCCTTCGTACTTGGCAGGAAAACTTGATGTATTTCAGGAAGTTGAGCATTGTATGATTATATTTCGGCAACACCAGAAATATTCCTTTGGAAATGAAGTACAAATTAACCATGCTAAGTCAAACTTTCTGAAGTCAGAAAACCCTCTTTCAAATTTTTGTTCAGTTCCTGTTTGAAACCCCTTAAAAAAAGAATGTAACATAGGCCTCCCTGATTTGAAGACTTCCGCCGCAAACCTCTTCAACTTAATTTTTTAGAGATCTCTGGTCTATTAATCATGGGATCCTGGAAGAAGAGCACTGAAAATGTAACTTGCTTTTTAACAGGACTAGTTGGACAAATGTACCCTAGCCTCCAAGTTTAGCATCCTGTCGACTCGTTTATCCAACAATTTAAGGCCAAAATTGTCGAGAAAATTACCTTCCTGTAATTATTCATTTATTTTTCTTGCCAAAATGCTGGTTTTATCAACTTGAAAGCTCCCAGAGTCGAGTTTTGTGTGGGTCCCTCAGGAACTTGTCATCTGTATGACAAGTTTGTCATACATTGAGATGTTTATCTGTGTTATGAAGAATACTGCCGGTGGACTCTCTCTACAATGGACTAAAAAAAATCGTTTGAGAGAATTTCGTTGTAGAGAACCCCATTAAAAAAGAAGAGAATCTTATATGACCAAAAATATTCGGTATAAAAAGAAAATCGTTTCAGACAGATCGTTCTGAAGAGAGTCCGCTTGTTTATATCAAGCGGGTTTTTTCTTTTTTTTTGTGCGGATTATATGGTTTATAATCGATGTATTTTATCTCTGTTGTCCAAAATCGTTTCAATATCGCCGGGGAATCAATTTAAGCCGTGTGCAATCAGTGTTGGTAGCCATTCATCACCGAGTAATTTTCGGTTGACGATGCCAATGGTTCTTGAAATATTCCACCTCAAAAAGATGGACCTGCGTCTGCTGTATATCATTATTCGTATATTCCTCTGCCGCGTTCGAGTTGATGCATGTAAACCATTTTTGTTGGCAGGTTACGAGGGCCTTTTGAACAATGGAGCAGTAGGCCCGGTTCCCTTGGAAGTTCTTGAAGAGTTCCAGTACATTGACAAAGGCGTTGTCTAGTCATTCCTTTTTTTGAATGCGATTCAGGAGTCTGAAGCGAGCGCGGAAGATTACGTCCTATTTGCAAATTGCATTTCAGCGATAATTTTTTTTTTTTTTTTTCGCGAACCCTTTTTGGCGGTTAGTTGCTATTCGGATCCCCGTAGGCGTCGTAACCGTGCATCGTTCTAGAAGTGGTGACAGGCCGTGTAACTTGACCTTTTCTTTGTATTTGCTTCTTCGCATTGTTTCTAAAAGCAAGTGCTCACTCTTGCCGCTTGTTACGGATTTTTTCGCGTCGGGAAGAGGATTATGCTCATCGTTTAGGAATCTAAGCGTAAATTTTCTTGAGCTTCCCGTTTTTTTTTTCAGTGTGGAAATGTTCATCTTAGTATGTAATTGTTGAATCTTAACCATATTGCGCCAACCATCCTCTGGTGGCCTGGACGGAACGTGGAACAAACGAAGCATATTGTTGCTTTTTGTTGGAGAACAGAATATATGTGGAACTGGAGGGCAGAATAAAGCTCGACAATTTTATGATATTTCTGCTCGGAGTTTCAATAGTTCCCGAGTGTTCTGACTGGACGTCTCGCCATAGCAAGAAAATGAGAAAACCTCTCGACTTTACGCGATATAAGAGTTTGTTCAAGGTGGTGCAAATTTTCTGATGTCTTTTACATTGTGTTTCAACGCGTTTGTGAGGTTTATCGTACATTTTGCATGTTTATTTCATTGATATCAGGCAATCTAGTATCTGAGGCAACGTTCTAACATTTCTGCATTGTTTATTTGATCATCCCCTTTTTTCCGCGAAATACTGAGAAATGATCGTCGTTAAAAATTGCTTTCCTAGTACACTAATGAGAATCAAATCAAAGAGGCTTGAAACGGATGCGAGTCCCCCACAAAGACGTTCTTCGGTGCCTTTGAGTAATGATGGTCTGCCTGAGTCCGGCAAAGTTCTTACGAAGACCCTTGTTCATTTGAACTTTGATAACTCAAGCCTCAGTTAGTCAAATATTTTCCTGTGTCAAAAATTTTTCCAAATTCCTGCATGAATTCCTTGGAACTTGTTTTTTTTAGCATTAAATCCATCTCCAACTTAAAGGCAATAAACCTTCATGGATTTTTAAAATTGTCTGGAGGCCTTTTTGCTGTTATTCTATTGACACAGGAAGAGAAAAGCAATTATATTGTAACTTGATATGTTCTGAAAGGAAGTGAAAGACTATTTTTTCAATGTGCAAATGAAACTTGCCTCAAAGTTCAGACCCTAACAACTCATTTAAGAAGCAATTTAAGGTCAAAAATGTTACCAGTTACAATTTCCTGTAATTCTTCAGTCCTCCCCCTCAACAAAATGCTTGTTTCCCAAAGTTGAAACTTCTCTGAAGTGATTTTTTTTGCTGGTCCCTTATTGAAGTTAGCCTTCAATGGTAGTGGACAGAATCCTGCAACATTCTTGTTTGAATCAAGGGGCTGAGAAGATGGTGGGATAATGAGTTGAGCAACGATGGACGTGTGGATGGAAACTCAGCAGGACATTTATTTTCTCCAAGTCGTCTCACTCACAGACATGCAAGGTACTATTCTTGAGAGACTAGACTGTTGGCGAGACTATAGGCCGTTGTTAAGCCAGCGTATGGCGTCGATTTGCACACTCTGGCTCAAGAGATGGACAAGAAGTATCTCAGGAGTTACGAGGTGAGAAGGATGAAGCATGCAACAACAACCAAGGATCAAAAATAAGCTCACTCTCTCTCTAAAAAAACCTCTCAACGTCCTTCTTAAGTCTCTCCTTTTTCCAAATTCCTCAACACACTCTCCCTCTCTCTATGTTTTATCTCCATGGTCTCCTGCTTTCACCGTTTCTGTCCGTGAGTGTGTTAACATATTTTTGTAAGCTACGACGTTTGCTCCGCATTGAGAAGGACGCAAGTAATCACCGGGCATTAAAACCTTCAGTCACATGCACACTGAAAATTTGAAACCTGTAATGTCAGTGTCATGAGAATAACTCATCCATCTGCGCAGCTCATCTATAAATTAAGAAATCGTCAGAGAATGAGAACAAGGAAACTATCAGGTCAGTATACAGTACATCATCATCGCCTGTTTTGAGATCATGAGTTACCAGCAGGGCGGGAAAAAGAGGGAAATGAAGTCACGCACTACGTATACAGACTACTGCTGTATGGATTGATTGTCCTCAATTAAGGGGAAGGGAAGAGAGAATACATGAGAACACGAACATGCAGAAAAAAGAAGCTGAAACATCATTTATCCGTCTTATTGAGGCTCGATGGACTGTTGGTGCTGGGCGTCTTATTGTTGCTCCCCGCGACCACGGTTTTATTGCTGTGCCGGCTGTCATGGCTGCCTGCTGGCGAATTCCTCGCTGATGGCTCACTGTTCGTAATCTCCCCTGCTGCAATCGGATTCATCATTGTTGTAAGTCTTGGCTTTATATGAGAAAACAAAATTGATTTTCAAACTTTAAAGATGCGATATAAATACAGCATAGGCTTAGGCTTTTCACGTATAGTCGTGTGAATCCCGTTATGATGAAAGAAATAAGCAGGGAAAATCTCCAAAGCAGAGCAGTTGGACCTCACTATAATGCCAAAACTTTCGAAGTAAAACCAAAACCCCGTAATAGAAATTTCCAGCTAATCCCAGCAGGCCAATTTCTGTCAGTTCAATGCAATTTAACCCTCCATAATCCAAATATGTTTGGGTCACGCCTTATTCTGCGGGTTTACCGTTGAAATTATAAGTCGTTTATGCAATGAAATTGAATCTACATTTTGGAACACATTTTTCCAGCAAACCAAAAAGAGAAGCCAATAATTTTCTTTATGATCTTATCATAGATTTTGACGTTTTCCTGCAGATAGGGCATTTATGTGAATAATTTTCTTATACTTTGACCAGAATACAGTATATGTACAGTAATTTCCATTGATTAACCCACCCAGATAAAGTCAAATTCCTTACCTCAAAAACTCTAAATTAAATCAGATTTAAAAGCGATGATCAATAGTTGTGTGAATAGATGATATGTGAGACACATAAGTTTGACTCAAAAAGTTGAGAAATGAATTTCCAGGAATGAGAAACAATTTCTTAACTCAATCATTCCTATTTTATAATATACTGTATGTGCTATGGATAGCTATTATCATGTGCAGTGTATATACTCGTACTATAGTTGACAATACTATAAGTGCAGTTTAGTAAAAGCTGCAGAATGTATAGAACGCAACAGCTGTATATAGTGTTCCTATTAAAGACAGCTAGTAAACCAATGATAACGCACAGTTGAAGCTGTTGGACCGATAGGTGTCTCTGCTGGATGGAGTCAAGTCTTGGTGGTGCTGGAAAGAGCGATGACTGGCGAGGTGCAGCCCAGCCCGGGGCAACCTTTGAGGGAACCCGAAGAGCGGGAACGGAAGGAATGTGGAGCCCGCCAGGTGTCGCTGGTGTTGCAGGAGGGCAGCAGGCCCAGGACTGATGAACCTGCCAGTGCTGCCAGCAGCTGTGGTGGTGCTGTTGCTGCTGCTACTGCTGGTGGTGCTACTGTTACTGGACCGAGGTATCAGCAGAGCATTGCTTTGTCCTGCAAAGCGTACAGGAATGCATGACATCCATCATCATCATTGTCATCATCAATTTTTGAAATCCATCAGAGTATAATTCAGACTTTCCAATTGTCAAGCTCTTCTTCAGTTTGAATTTTCAACAAATCCCCTTTCAGACTAATGCATCATAAACCTTCCTAACTCAAAAGAGAGATAGAGATAGAGAGAGGGACAGAGAGACAGAGAGAGAGAGAGAGAGAGAGAGAGAGAGAGAGAGAGATACAAAGAAGTTACACCAAGGTTACAGTTGGTGCATTTGTGTGATACTCCTGTTATGTCACATTTGTGCACCAAATGTAGCCCTGGGATGGTAGCAAAATTTCATCTACAGAGGTGCATGCTTGTAACTCTACAATAACCCATGTACACCAGTTTTTTCCCCAGTGTGCACCAGTTGTGGGGTCACACAAAGAATAGCTCCCCACTTGGGAGAGAAAACTTGCTCAACAAAAATTTTAGGGAAGCCAACTCAAAACATATTGGTTCCCCAAATTCCATTAGTTGCATTTTTGGTGGCCTATCTGTGTTATTAAACTGCTGGAGCTAAATTCTAAAACCCCCCAGGAAATCAAGAAAACAGACGCTATTCATTCTCTGTATCACTCAATGTTCCCCATAAAAAGGGATTATATACTTGTTTAAACATCTTCTCACTATACAGATGAAAAGAGAATAAAGAACAGTTTGAATGATTTGAGCAGAAAATAATTTCCATGAATTACCCTAACTACACGAAAAAAAATTCTCGACTCAAAAACTCGGAAAGTCCAATTTTTATGGAATCTTTACACTCAGGGTTCAATTGCGAAAAACATGTTCCGTTCACTTCTTGGAACTTATTTTCGCGAAATTTTCTGTGAATCCTACATGATCTGCATCAGGATGCACAAATCAAAGAATTGTCAAAAATATTATTAAAAAAGGTACCATGGTAAGAAAGCTGGGGATGAGGATGATGATGCAGACTTTGGTGATGATGATGGGAAGCCACAGCAGATGACTGCATGATGGCTGAGTGCCCAAAAAACTGCTGCTGCTGTTGTTGCTGAGATGCACCCCCACCAGCACCCCCACTTGCACCACTTGCTGATTCCAAGCACCCTGTTGCCACAAAAGCTGTTGCTGTTGGATTCAGTCCTGTAAACACATGCTGTTGTTGCTGGTGGTGGTGAGATTGAGGCTCTGCATCCCAGCCATTCCAAGCCTGGATATACATTCAAATAGGTTCAGGACAATAAACAATGGATGTCAAAGAGCTGCAAAAAAGAGGAATTTTGCCTAAAATTGTATGTGCTATATATTTCTGGAAAGTTCCTTTAGAGTCCCTTTACTGGCAGGGCGTATGTTACTGATGACAAAATGTTTTGGGAAGACAAAAGGACAATGCCCAGGACTCTCATTATTCAAATAAATGTCGCAATAGAATCTTCAGCCAATTGAAACAAATACAGTATCTGCAAAATATGTGTACTGTACATGTTTAAACTTCAGAAATAACAAGACATACCCCAATTCCTGAGACTAAAATTATCAGCTCTAACTTGAGATTTGCAAGCTGTATTACTACACTGTTTGCAAGTCAGTGCAGCAACTTTACTAACATCAAGACAAGCTGGGGGTGCCCAGCCACACCTGGGCATCATGTTTGGAATTTTACAGAAATTTTAAAAATTCAATCATTTGATCTAATCATTCTTTGGGGATGGGATGCTCAAAATGAAGAGAGGACTGTATAATGTATTGAAAATCCTTCCAAAATCAGGTGAACTTTTGCATTGTGAACCTAGAAATTTTAAAAATTCAATCATTTGATCTAATCATTCTTTGGGGATGGGATGCTCAAAATGAAGAGAGGACTGTATAATGTATTGCAAACCCTTCCAAAATCAGGTGAACTTTTGCATTGTGAACACTTATGTGGCCAAAGGTCCACTCCTTCCCCATGGGCTTGCAATACTCAGAGAACATAAAAAACAATGAAAGATCACTTCATTCTTAACTTGATATTTCTACAGTCCATAGTGCTCAATTTAAATTCATAACTTTCCAAATCTCCTACACTTTGGCTCTGGGATCTTTTGGGTGTCTGGGTTGAGGCCCCCTCCCCAGCCACCTGACTCCACAATTCAAGCCAATCCTGGATTGGCTTGAAGAAATTTGGAGTTCATCCATTTGACTTTGATTTGAAAACCCACATAAAACTTATAACTTCACTGCTGGAGCCCTGCACTGTATTTTGGGTGAAAAATCCATGTTGATTGTTGGTTGGATGGGGCAGGTCCCCTGATGTAAAATCTTTTTTATGCGATTTTTTATTGACTTATGCTGCAAAATTTTTAAATTTGTCTCCATAACTTTTAAATATTTTACAGGTTTTTAAATAAAAATTTCATCAAATTTCAGTGGGTATCTGCTCATGTAAAGAGGTGAAATTTGGAAAATTGAAAATACTGTATTAAATAAAATTTTAAATGTAAGAAAAAAATCCAATGCAATTGGAAACAACTCAATTTGGATACTACAGTATTTACTTGAGTACCACCACACCTTTTTTCTATTATTTGAGGCAGAAACAAAATGTGCACATGGGACTCCATAAATTTCAGGGAAAAATTCACAGAAATATAGCCCAGCAGTCATTTCATTGTGTGGGGTGTGTTCCATATACTTGAGGACATGTTGTACTTCAGTAAACAGGGAATCTGGGGGTGAATTTCACCTCAAAGTTTGACAAATGTTTTCTTTCTCTTGCAGAATCATAATTGGTGAATACAAAACCTGCAGCAAAAATTGTTCTTGTTTCTCAGTTCAACTCAATTTTAAAATTATTTTGGAACCTTTGATTGCTCTGATTTTTGCAGAAATAGTGCACAATAAAATTTTGCTGATTTCAAAATTTTTTTGCAGAAAAATACTCCCAGTTAATCAATTAAACAATAGAAAACAAAATGTAAAAATGTAAATGTTCTTAGTTTTTTGTCAACTCAAATATAAAATTATTTGCATAACTGCAATTGCTGCCCTTTTGCAGGCTTAGTGTGCCTTGAAATTTGTTCCATTCTTCTATTTAGATTGCATGGAAATATTCATATTTGGTGAATTAAAAAAAAATTAAATGTGAACATTTCAAGATTTCTGTCTTTTTCAGTTGCTGTCAATTTTAAAAATCTTTTAAAAACTGCTATTACATTCATTTTTGAAGCAGTGTGCACTCTGTTTCTTTTTAATATTCATAAAGAATGATTGTTTTTCCAAACATTTTCAAAAATTTCAACAATTTTCAGGTTAGTTTATTTCTAATTTTTATAAGAGCAATACTGTGCTTATCACAATGCTAAAATTTGAAGTTTGGTGCAGTAGAAAATTTTTTCAAGTTTTTACATATGAAAAGCCAGTGGTTGCCAAATAAGCAATTTCAAAATGTTTTTACATTTTTGATGAAAATTCTTTCACTTCTTAAAATTTCTGAAAATTTTACATGCAAAAAAAATTTGAGAATTTTATTTTTCTCTCAATAATGTCAAGAAATGGGAATTTTATGCAGAGTTCACTTATTTGCAAATTTTTAAATATAGAAAAACTGGAAGAAAAACATAAATGGGAATGTGGAGTTTTCACCCAATTTTAGAGCTTTTCCGAACTAGAAAAAAAATTATTGTTTAAAACTTCACTGCGCATTCAACAATTGAAAAAAATTTGGGAATCAATACATAATTGAATTTTTGGAATATTTTGGAAGTTGACATGACAGAAAGAAAAACCAAAATGGGATTTCACATTTTTCGATTTAGCTCATAACTATTTCATTTTTTCTTCAAATTTGGAATTATTTTTTGGGTTTATGCGCACAGATTCTTTATAAATTTAAATATTTTTAAAGTTGAAACATGTTGTTAATTGAAATAGATAAAATTCAAAGAGTAAACTCTTTTTTCCCGTTTTTTGTACAATTGAAAAAAAAACATTTTTTGTTCTTTATCATACCTCTGTCAATTTCCAATGTTTTTACATGTTTAAAAAACAAAAATGTTGAAAACTTCAGTGTAAATTCAACATTTCAAGAAATTTGGAGATTTGTTGAAAATTGAATTTTTGACAAATTTTCCAATCAAGAAAGTCCAGAAATGAAAAATGTCCGAGTTTCCACTTTAACTCATCATAACTTTGCATCTGATGAACCAATTTCATTTTTGAAAAAAGATTTGAATGCATGCTGAAGTTTCACGATTTTATGCATTTTTAAAGTTTTAAAAATATCAATAATTGACTGCGTTAAATGAAAAACGCAAAACGTTTTTGAAAATTCTCGTATGGAATTTTCCACAAATTTTGCAGAAACGTTTTTTGTTTTTGCATGTATCTGCATCAATTTTCAACATTTTGAAAAGTTAAAAAAAGAAAAATATGCAAAACTTCATTGCGCATTCAACGCCGTTTCAAATTTAAAGTTGTATAAAGAATTGAATTTTTGAAAAATTTTGCAATCAAGAAAGTCTGGAAATAACATTTTGAAAAGTTAAAAAAAGAGAAATATGCAAAACTTCATTGCGCATTCAACGCCGTTTCAAATTTAAAGTTGTATAAAGAATTGAATTTTTGAAAAATTTTGCAATCAAGAAAGTCTGGAAACAAAAAATGTCCGAGTTTCCACTTTAGCTCATCATAGCTTTTTATCTAACAAACCAATTTCAAATTTGAAAACAGATTTGAATGCTCGCTGAAGTTTTACGAATTTTAGTATTTTTTAAGTTGGAAAAATATTAAACATTGGCCGAGTTAAAGTGGAAACTGTAGAACTTTTTCGAAAATTTTTGTTCTTGGCGAAGCAGGACAGCAGCATCTGCTTCCCCTGTGGGCGGGGCTTAGGGGGAGGGAGACAGGAATAGAGGGGGAAACACTGAGGGATAGATATTGAGCCAACGCAAGGACCCACTGAGGCAAGTAACTTTATTAGTAAGGACAAGCTGGGGGTGCCCAGCCACACCTGGGCATCATGTTTGTAATTTTACAAATATTTAAAAAATTCACTACAAATCAGTGTACAATATATTTGAAAAAGGTTGTGCACAGCCACACTTATGCATCATTGTCAATATGGAAAGAGTTTCAAGATTTATATGCTTACTGCTGGCTATATGTTGACAGTTCATCTATAATTTTGCACTTTTGTTCAATGCATCAGGTGTGAGCCATAACTGGCACAGGAGCAAAGGAGTTTTTATTTATGTTATACCCTAGATCTCATGTGTGATGCCCCCTCTCCTCAATGCACATGATGCACATGAGCATTTCCATTGTGTCCCTTGTTATTTGTCCAAGATCACAAATTCAGATGTAGGAGCATTTTTTCCATATTTTATAGGCATTGGGTAGGGTTTTCAAAGGTCACCTCCAAACACCCTGATGTGTGTATCTTTATGTCCAGTTCATGTGAGCAGTGCTTCATTCAATACTTGTCTTCATTGAGAAAATGCCATGGTCAAAAATTTCTTTGTTAGGCTATAGGCTCCTCCAAACACCCTGATGTGTGTATCTTTATGTCCAGTTCATGTGAGCAGTGCTTCATTCAATACTTGTCTTCATTGAGAAAATGCCATGGTCAAAAATATCTTTGTTAGGCTATAGGCATGAGGTATGGATTGGCAAGAGGTCCAATCCTTTCCTGTGGCATCTCAAAACTTATCAAATTTTAAAAAGGAAGAAGCATTACTTCAACCTTACCATACTCCTTCTTTGGTGAATAGTGCTCCATTTAAATTCATAATTTTCCAAGAATCCTACACTCCTGAATCTCAATAAAAAAATGGGTGACTGAGCCTCTCCCTCAGTCACCATCAACCCATTCTGGATTAACTTGAAACAAATGTTGACCCATCCATTTTTCTTTGATTTGAAAATTCAAACAAAAATGTATACCTTCAGTAGTGGAGCTCAGTTCTGTATTTTGGCAGAAAAATTCCTATAGAATGTTGATTGAATGGGGCAGGTCCCCTGATGTAAACACTTTTTTAAGGGATTCTCTGTTGATTTTTGTAAACATTTTTGCATCTTTGATGGGAAATTCAACTCAATGTCAGAAAATTGTACAGCTAAAATTAAGAAAGTAAAATTAATTTTTCAAGATTTTTGTAGTTTTGTAAAATCATTTTGTGTCTTTCACTGTAATTTTGTCAATATCTAAGTAATGTCCAAATTAAATTAAAT